TGAGCCACAGTCAGCTCCTGGTCTAGTTTTTACTGACTGTATAGAGCTTCTCCATCTTTGGCTGCAGAGTACATAGTCAATCTGATTTCTATGTTGACCGTCTAGTGATGTCCATGTGCAGAGTTGTCTCTTGGGTTGTTGGAAAAGAGTATTTGCTATGACCATCGTATTCTCTTGACAAAATTCTACAAGCCTGTGCCCTGCTTCATTTTGTACTCCAAGGCCAAACTTGCCTGCTAGTCCAGCTGTCTTTTGGCTTCCTACTTTAGCATTCCAATCCCCCATGATGATAAGGACATCATTTTTTGGTGTTAATTCTAGAAGGTGTTGTAGGCCTTCATAGAACTGGTCAACTTCAGCCTCTTCAGCACCAGTGGTTGGGGCATAGACTTGGTCTACTGTGATGCTGAATGGTTTGCCTTGGATTCGAACTGAGATCATTCTGTTATTTTGGAGATTGTATCCCAGTACTGCTTTTCCTACTCTTTTATTGACTATGAAGGCTACTGCATTTCTTCTGAGGGATTCTTGCCCGCAGTAGTATACATGATTAAATTAAATTCATGATCTGAATTAAATTCGCCCATTCCTGTCCAGTTTAGTTCACTGATTCCTAAGATGTTGATGTTCAGTCTTGTCATCTCTTGTTTGACCACATCCAGCTTGCCTCGATTCATGGATCTTACATTCCAGGTTCCTATAAAGTATAGATCTTTGCAGCATCAGCCTCTCCTTTCACCACCAGATACATCTGCAACTGAGTGTCTTTTCGGCTTTGACCCAGTCACTTCATTCTTTCTGGCGCTACTAGTACTAGCCCTCCGCTCTTCCCCCGTGGCATATTGGACACGTTCCGACCTGAGGGGCTCATCTTCCAGCGTCATATCTTTTTGCCTTTTGGTACTGTCCATGGGGTTTTCATGGCAAAGATACTGGAGTGGGTTGCCATTTCCTTCTCCAGTGGATCGCGTTTTGTCAGAGCTCTCTGCTATGACCTGTCCATCTTGGGTAGCCCTGCACGGCATAGCTCATAGCTTCATTGAGCTATGCAAGCCCCTTTGCCACAACAAGGCAGTGATCCATGAAGGGGTGATTGGGATTAAAACGGACTTATTTTCTAAAGTCATAACAATACGGGCAGTCCCCAAGTTATGTACACCTGAGTTACAAACACCCTGTACTTACAAACAAAGTACTATAAAGCCTGTTAATTTAAAAAGTTACTGTGGAAAATTGTTATCACCATAGAGAGAGAAGAAGCAAAAAGGGAAAGAAGGAAGGCCTCCAAAATATCACCATAGAGAGGAAGTGAAAGGGTAGAGAGAGAGGCTCCAAAGTATACCTTCCTGTCCTGCCTGCCCAGAGAGGGAAATCTTCTCGGCATTTCCCTGCTGCAAAGAGGAGGCACTGGTGAGTGTGTGTGGAGGGGGCTAGAGATATTCGTGATTTTTCCATTCCATGGGGGTCCTGCACCCCTAACTCCTGTGAATGTGGAGGGCCAACTATATGTGATCCGATTTACGTACAAATTCAACTTAATGCCGAACTTCTGTCATAACCTGGGGACTGCCTGTACATCATCAATACCACCAATTTGGTAGGATTCAGTTAACAGGGATAAACTGACAGAAGATGGTAATTCTAAGATGAACTGTTTACAGTAAATCCTTATTTTCTTCAAATGTAATCACTACTTCACTGAGTCATATTACTATATTTTATGAGAAATTTGGAGTTTGTTCTCTAGCAATTTAGGAAACAACCGTATTTGTCCATCCAGAATATAGTAGAATTATCTAGACTTGCAGTATTATCTCCGTGATCTCAGGCAGAAGAGTTTACTATCACCCACTTGCCTTTTTAACTGGAGATTCCAAGGACTGAACCCACAACTCTTTCTAAATCATCCATTTCTTCGTCAAACAAAGACTTTTCCTCACAGAAGTAATAGTAGCACTAATGGGGGCAAGAGGGCTTAACCCTTTCTCTAACTGCCATTTCTCCACTCCAAACCCTAAGAACTGCCAGGAATTGAATTTAGGACTTTCTGCATGCAAAACATAGCTCAGCCATTGACTACTATTCGGTTGCCATAGTATCTAATTTTCTATTTTATAGGTGGAAATTCAGAAGACCTCCAACATTGTCTCCGTCCAGTGTGGTAGTGATGGCACCTTTCTGCTCACACAGACAGGCAAGGTGTTGGCTTGTGGTTTGAATGAATTCAACAAGCTGGGTCTGAATCAGTGCACTTCAGGGATAATTAATCATGATGTGAGTAGCAGTTTTGGCATTGGCTGAAAATGGGGAAAATACTGTTTGTTTGGAAATGATGAAGAACTTATTGTGGATATGTCCATTTAGAAATATGTTTTGATTAATAATTATTAATAAATATTTACTGAGTGCATGAATGGAACCTTAACAAGACAAGAAAAAATGATGTAAATTGGCAGTTGAGTACTAGGTTCACTTCCATGTCATGTGATGGATGATGCATATATTTGAGGGACCTAAAATAGAAAAAAATGACTAGGATCCATGCAGAAATTGACTGTTTTGGAAGGTCTGATTCTTATGGCAGTATTGCTTACTCATACCCTGGGTAGAGGATCTGGAGTGGCATGTGTCTATATAGGAGCATAGCAGTACATTTATCAATTTGTTGGTTCCCTTCCTTTAGGCTTACCAAGAAATTCCATATGCTACTTCTTTCACTCTGGCTAAAAAACTCTCCTTCTACAAGATTCGCACCATTGCTCCAGGAAAGACACACACGGCTGCCATAGATGGTGAGATCTAATTACACTACATTCACCTCTACATACAGTTCACTTTCCAGTTAAGGGTAATAACCCTTCTAGGTAACCACAGTCAATAGACTAATCTAGTTCTTAATGCTATTATTGGGAGAAAAACCCTGGCTCTTGACTCTGATGTTCAGTGCATTGGAGTATATAAGGGGCTGCATGTAGATAATGAACACTGCTTCTATTATGGTTCTTCATGGTTTCTGTGGCTCTCACTCATTGTTTATACAGCTGCTTAGAGCAGTGTTGGGGTACAAGGATGGGACGTGGGCAGCAGGAGACAAGACAGCAGGACGAGGACAAAGTACATGAGGCAAAACAAGGGTCCAAACTCCAGAAGCAAGGTTCAACAGCAAGTCCAAGTCACAGAACTAGCCAGGGTCAGCGACCAGAAGTATATATTGGGACACAACAAGGACATGGTCATGAACAATCCAGGAGTTTAGAACCAGGAGGACAAACAGAGGTACAGGTACCTCAAGGCAGGATAATTGGACAGGATGCGTGCAAAGGTGAGGCAAAGCTTCAGCAAAAGAGTGAAACTGAACTCAAGTTCACAAGAAGCCCTGAGTTACTGAGGCAATATGGCAAAACAGGATACAAGGCAAGGATCAGGCAAGATGCAGGAGCTGAACCATAACCAGCAGGAAGTCCTGAGTTGTTAAGGCAACATGTCAAGCGGGAGATAAGTGGCATGGCAAGAAAGAATGTATACAGCACAGCAGGATCTGGGTCAGGCAGGATGCAGGCACTACAGCGAACAAGAAGACCTGTGATGCTGAGGCCATTTCTGGAGGGGAGACTTGCTCATGCATAGCACTTCCCCCTGATCTCCTAACTAGCTCTCATTAGGATGCTGAGAGCTCCAGTAGGACCTGGGACTGATCCTGAGAATATAGTGGTGGTTGTTTTGGTTCTGGACACCAGAGCAGCCCAGATCTGACAAGCAGTCATTCAGAACATCCTAGAACTCAACGAAGTTTAAGGGTGGGAGTCCTGTCCACCTCCTCTGCCTCTTTCTTTATGTCCACCACAGCAACAGCAGTATTTGGAATATTGTCTATGTCACAACTCCAAAAAGCAGAAGAATTTGTCTCTTGTGCAACATGGAGCAAAGATTCTTTGCTTTCATTTGTTCATACTATTTGTTATTGTTCTCTTTCCTGTTTTCACTGAACTCCCCCCTTCTTTTTTTCTGCCCTTTCTTTGGGGCACTTGGCCTCTAAGGTTGTCTTCAAAAAACGTATTCAGTGTAGCAGGAAAATACTGTTCACTCCATCTGCCTACTGAGTAAAGCCCACTGAGAAGACTCCTAGTCCCACTGCAAGGCACTTGCCAAACAGGCTAAGAAAAGTAGAATGGGGTGTACCTTGAGCACTCCTTTGAGAAAATCACTCAGAACTCTCAGAATTAGTCTCTGCATACTGCTTCAAATTTCATCTGCAAGCATCTGCCTCCAGTTCCTCTGCCTGAAAGCATGGAGGGCAGTTCAGGTTAATTCCCAAGCTCTGGAACATGGCTCCATCCAGTACTGACATTTGCAGGTGTCCCCCAGGTCCAGCAGTTTGAGGCCAGATGGTCATTGATGGCCAGTACAAAGCAGGTCAAACAAAGTCCTATAATAAATGACTTGCAAATATTCAGGCCCTGGAATTGAAAAAAAGAAAAAAAAAACCTTACCAAATCAAATTCTAAGTCACACCTGATAATAACCCAGCCGTAATCCAGTCTCTTACTATTAAGATGGGACCCAGACTCCATTAGGTCAGTCAGTTCTCATGCTTGAGAAGCTCAAGATCATTTAGGATGATACCTCCCTGAATGATATCCAGCACCTTGTATCAAGAGGTGATTCACAAGAATGCTGCTTTCCTGAGCTTTTTCATCCTTGGGATCCATCTTCTGGAAGCTATTGATCTCCTTGGTACCAGCACATCTCATTGGCCTTGCCAGCCTCTTCCAGTAGTATTCCTTCAGCAATGCTCAAGATGCTTCTTCTATTATAGATCTCCTGATTTCTGTGAAGACTGCTCACCACCAAGTAGTCATTTCTGTTATACAGATATCGAATATCCTGCTGTTACTCCCATCACAGTTTTTCTTAACTCGATTTGAGGCTGAAGGAACAGCGCAAATACTCTCATCTCCCTTGTGAACAACCTTGCCACTTCTCTGCAAGGTAATTATAATCCAGTGCATACTAGGATTTGTAGCCTTGACCCTCTATTCTACCTCAGAATGAGACCCACTCAGTTATGGTTTTTAAGGGCTTTCAACCCAAAATGGGACCCCAACACTTGCTAGCTCTTCCCACCTGACTCAGTCATTATGTATTTTCCAATATAATGGAACTGCTAGTATCACCACCTACAGGGTGCCCACTTTCCACATATCCCAGCTGAAGGTAGTGGTTCTAGTTGATGCCTCACTCCTCAACTGGGGCATCTGCATCCACGCATTGACAAACCAGATGATTCTGATCATACCAAGAATGCAAATGACATGTAATCCAACTAGAACTGTTCAATGTTGCCAAAGCTGATTGTCCAAATGGCCACAGACAACACTACAGTAATTTTTAAATAAACAGGTAGGCTGTGAGGTCTTCACCTCATAAATCTCACCTTCACTTACTGGGATTGGTGCCATCAATACCATATCACCCCATTAACACCTGGCAGGAGGCATTCAGTACTCTGGAAGAATCCCTCAACAGGTCAAGAACTACCCATGAATGGTAATTTGACCACAGTGCAAAAACTCCTCTAAAAATGGGGAAAGCCCAAAATGAGCTTATTTGCTACAGCTCAGATCATGAAATGCCTGCTCTTCTGCATCAAATTGGAGCACAATCCAGAATCTCTGAGAGATTCCTTTTTCCTTCACTGCGGCATACCCAGTCTACACTTTTCCTCCTTTCCCTCTAATCATGAGGCTTGTGAACAACATAAGGACAACAGAGCTCAATGTTCACCTCATGGGACTCTTGATGTAATACTGTTTTCATCACTTCTAATCCTTTCCAGTTAAAACTGTCTTTGCTTCTCTCCTCTCTCCTTTGCGAGAAGATAATGAAACACCCAGAAACAGAATCTCTCTGCCTTCTGAATAGAATAGTCTAGCTCTCAATTTCTCATCTCATGAGGCTATTTGGGAGAGGACAGTATAAAAAAGTTTTAAATAAATAATGTCCCCATAAGGTTCTGCTTGAACCTCATATGGTGTCACTTGAGGGTTATGTCTCCAATCTAACTAGACCCAGTTATGGACTTCCTCATCTTCTTAAACTAAGATCCTTTCCTACCTAGCTGCAGTCTTGGCCAACCACAGCAAAATGAGCAGATTGTCATTTTTTCCCATCCGTGTGTAAAACATGTTCTTAAAGGTCTTGCCAGTCTTTATCTGCATCCTAGAACATGGAACATTCTAGAGCTAATCAGAGATGTAAGAGGGACTCCTGCCCAAGAATCTTTTGTGAACACTCAGGACGTGACTCCCACTGGCTTTTCAGCTCACAGGCAGCAGTAGTGCAAGCTTGAGATAAACAGTGTAAATAGGTGAGGTGTTGAAGCAGGGTGGAGGGAAGGCTGTGTGTGTATAGATGACTACTAAAAAAACAACCCTACAGTTAACAGGTAAGCAACCTATCCTTTCCAGAAACTAGGGTGAACAGGAGTGTTCTGTATAGTGGCAATTATTGAATAGTCTGCCTTAGATCCCAAGTTAAAAAGGTTCATGAAAGGAAAGTTTTTATCCTTTCCACTACTAGGTGTGTTGACCTAGTAGTGGAAAGAATAAATTATCCATGTCCCAGTCTGCATATGCCCAAAATACACAACAGGGGAAGGTTTTCTTTTAAAATATTTATCCTTGAGAATAACCAGCTGCCAACAAATCATTCCAGATGGTGCACCAAAGCAGTCCTCTGTTGCCCCTTTTATACATTGACCATTAAAGGGTTATATGTAATGCAGTTAACACTTTCTAATAGGTTACAGAAGTAAAAAGTTACAATGGTGTGATCTTTCCTGCCTGCATATCAAAGCAGAAAGAAGATGCTGGGAAGGTGGGGAGGAGGAGGAGGTGGGTTGGTGTGACTTGCCCTTTGTTTGCGTTTAAGAAACATGCAGACAAGCTGGAAAGGATTTAGAGGAGGGCAACAAGGATGATTCAAGAACTGGAAACAAAGCCCTGTGAGGAGCGATCGAATGAACCGGGCATATTTAGCCTCGAGAAGGTTGAGGGGAGATATGATAGCACTCTACAAGTAAATGAAAGGCTGTCACAAGAGGAAGGTCAGGATCTCTTCTCGATCATCCCAGAATGCAGGACACAGAATAATGGGCTCAAGTTACAGGAAGCCCGGTTCTGGCTGAACATCAGGAATAACTTCCTGACTGTTAGAGCAGTATGACAATGGAACCAATTACCTAGAAAGGTTGTGGGCTCTCCCACACTAGAGGCATTCATTATGCAACTGGACAGCCATTTGACAAGAATGGCTTAACTTGTAGTCCTGCACTGTGCAGAGGATAGGGCCCATTGGCTCTTTGACCCCTTCTGAGTGCACTATTCTATGTAGCTGCTGCCAGGCGAGTTGATACAGTGACCTGATTTAATCTGATTTAACATAAATTTAAGTGGAAAATTACTAAAGTAGTCCTGTACAGTCACATTTGACTGAGAGTGTAATTCCAAAATGAGGAAACAGGTAAGAAGACAATTGAAAGAGGGAGTTGAGAGAATTAAATCTATTCAAAACTGTAATAATAGAAGTTCAGCTCAAATGTAAGGAAAGGTAACATCAAATCCAAAAGATCACCAGTAGTGCCAGGGAAGGTATTAGAGATTAGAATGCTTCCTTCAGAAAATGCAAGCCTTGCCAAAATGAGGAAAACAAAAAAGGACTTGCACAAAAAAGTTACAAGCAGACAGTAAGAGTATATTGCTAACAACATCAAACCAACAATAACCATTTTTAAAAGTATATCAGAGGCAGGAAACCAGCTAGGGAGGTGGCTGAACTGTTGAATGACAACAGAATTTAAAAAATATTAAAAGAGGATCAAGAGTTTGCAGGAAAGCAGAATATATTATTTTCATTTGTCTTCACTGTAGAAGATACAAGATATTTTTGCCTGAATTAATATTTCCAGGAAAGGAGTATGGCCAAATGAAGCAAACTGAGTGGTGACAAATTTGAATTTCTTGATTTTATCAACAAATTGAAAACTGATATATCACTAGAGCCAGATAGTTTCTATCCCAGAGTTCTTTAAAAAACCCTCAAATATGAAATTGCTCATCTTCTAACAAGAATAGATAATATGTTCCTGAATTCAGCCTTTGTGCTAAAGCAGTAGAGGATGATCAGTGAAGTGCCATTCTTCTGCTCAATTTGATTTCTCTTGACCAACAAGCATCTCCTTGAGTACTACCTATAGTTGTTCAGGCGAATCCTGAACTCCCATTATCAGGCGATGGCTGAGTGATATCCCACAGCCTAGCAGCTTGTCCAGCAGAGCTTAGCAGCTTCTTACTGTGATGATAGCCAATGTCTGTGCATGTTCTTTATTTCAGAGCGGGGTCGTTTGCTAACCTTTGGCTCCAACAAGTGTGGTCAGCTGGGTGTTGGAGACTACAAGAAGCGTCTGGGCATTAATCTGCTGGGAGGACCTCTTGGGGGGAAGCAGGTCATCAGAGTTTCCTGTGGTGATGAGTTCACTATAGCTGCTACTGATGGTGAGTGTTGATATTATTTGGGATGTAATGAATTTCTATTAAGTTAGGTCTGCTGGGTACTAAAGATGGTTACCTGCCACTTTAAAAGGAAGGTAGCATGAAAGGTATGATACTTCCAAATTTCCATTAGACAAGAGGAACTTAGTTATTATGCTGGTGCGATAAAGTAACAAAAAATAAAACGTAAGTTTCCTACAGAAATGTATAAATTTATATTTATACCTTACCTTTTTCTTTCCAAGGAACTAAAGGTGGCTTACATTATTCTCTTCCTTTTCTATTTCTTATCCTCACAACAACAACCATGTGTGGTAGGGTTGGGCTATGAGTCTGACTGACCCAAAGTCACCCAGTGAGCTCCATGGCTGAGTAGGGGCTAAAACCCAGATCATATCAGTTCCGGTCCCATACTTTTAAGCACTACACCATGCTGACGAGCATATATTTCTCTGATGTGAGTCATTAGACTTTCAAAATAAGTGGAAATAACTGCAATATTATAAGAGTGTGAGATGTCTGACTTTAGGCTGATAAAGATTTTCCTCTCTCCAGATAACCATATATTTGCCTGGGGTAATGGCGGGAATGGCCGTTTAGCCATGACTCCAACTGAGAGGGCTCATAGCTCTGATATTTGTACATCATGGCCTCGGCCCATTTTTGGTTCCCTGCACTATGTTCCTGACTTATCTTGCCGTGGATGGCACACCATCATAATTGTTGGTGAGTATAAAGTAGTTGGGGGTTGGTGTCTGCCCATTAATAATTGTATTCACTAACTGTAATTAATGTGTCAAAATGTAACTAGAGTTCACAGGAAAGAGTGGAAAATATGTTGCATGTATTCTTCCTCCTATGTTTTTGAAACTCTTTGCTGAGGAAATTTTCCCTTTTTTTTCCTCCAGAAAAAGTTATAAATTCTAAAACCATCCTCCGTTCTAGTAGCAGTGGCCTGTCTATTGGGACTGGTAAGTGATCAGACTGTTTCATAACAGATTCCATATTTGGGGTCATATATTGAAAAGGTATAATCTTGAGCAGTTGTTGTTGCAATAAAAATACCAGATAATGGAAAAAGTAAGGTTGCTTACCTGTAATTGACATTCTTCAGGTGGTCATCTGTGCATTCACATATATGGGCTCTGCACTGCACAGAGCCTGTTGTTAAGATTTTCCTACCTAAACTCATCTTGGCCAAGCCCCACCCCTTCTTACCCCTAATATATATAGGAGGGGCTACTGCCATTTTTCCCAGCTCTCATGTGACTGACATTTTGTCCTTGGAACCAGGGAAGAAAGCTGGTCATGGTCCAACTTGCACCATCCTGGTACAGGTTCAAAGGGAAGAAGGTACTCAAACCAAGGCTATCAGCACTGATGGAGGGCTGGTGGGTGGGTTGTGTGAATGCACAGATGGCCACTCAAAGAATGTCAGTTACAGCTGAGCAACCTTACTTTCTTCTTCGTGATATCTGTGCATGGGTGACTAGTGAGCTTACCTTGAAACAGAGGAGGGGTGGTGTCATCAACAGAGGACTGCTCAGCTGGCTGCTCAGCCAAAGGACCAATCTTTCCTGGCGTGGACATCAAGCTGGTAGTGCTGGACAAAAGTTAATGGAGTGATCATGTCACTGCTCTGTAGAACTCCTGCAATGGAATGCCAACATGCAGTGCTGTAGATGTCACCATCGCCCTGGTGGTAGAAAGCATCCTCACTTGTCTGGGGAGGTACACTCCAGCCAGTTGGTAAACCAGTTTAATGGTCTCCACAGTCCAGTGAGTGAGTCACTGGGTACTGATAGGCTTGCCTTTGGACAATTTACTGTAAGAAATGTAAAGTTTCTCCAAGCAACAGAAGGATTCTTGGACCAGCAGAAGTATGAGGGCAGAAATATGGGACCAATAGAATGGCAACACCCTGCGCACTTCCAGGATATGCAGCGCTGATTCCACTGGGGTGGATGGTATTGGAAAGAACACTGGAGGTACAATGTCCTGGTTCATGTGGAACCATGATGCAGCCTTTAGGATGAATTTGTAGTCAGGTTGCACTACTGTCTTGTCCTTATGAAAAATAAGGAACAGTGGATTAGTGTGCAAGGTGCAAAGCTTGCTTGCCTGCTCATCTTGCTGAAGTGATCACCACCAGAAAAACAACCTTCCACAAGAGAAGGCATAGGTTGACAGTGTCCAAAGGTTTAAAAGGGGACTTCGTAAGAGGCTGCAAGAACACCGACAGACTCCATCCCAGTACAAAGGAATGGATGGGTGGGATCAGATTGTGGAGATCTTTAAGGAACTGACAGGACAGAGGGTATGAAAAGACAAAGAAACCATTGAATGTCTTGTGATAGAAAGAGATTGTCACCAGATACACTCTAAGGGAGGCCAGTTTCAGGCATTGTGTATCATACTACCTCCAGCAGCAGCAACCTTGGGAATGGTCTTAAAGCCAGCACTCTCTCTTGTGATGGTTGCCTTATGCAAGGGGAGCACATGGATTGTGCTCTGGCATTGCCAACAGAGTGTTCATCCTGAAAAGCCCGTGATCCACACTCTGCCACCAACCCATGCCTCCACTGCTATCATGTTGCTGACAAATCAATCAGTCTGACATCAATCTGTGGGAAAATTCTGGAGCAGATTATAAAACAGTCAGTCTGCAAACAGCTTGAAGACAATGTGGTAATTACTAGAAGCCAACATGGATTTCTTAAGAACAAGTCCTGCCAGACTAATCTAATTTCATTTTTTGACAAGGCAATCTCCCTGATGGACTGTGGGAACGCTGTGGACAAAATCTCTCTAGGCTTTAGCAAAGCCTTTGAGAAAGTGCCCCACAACTAGCAAAAAGTGGGCTAGATATTGCAACCATTAGGTGGATTCACAGTTGGCTCCAATAGGTCAGAATGCTGTGCAGAGAACAACAGAATGAAATTCAGTAGGGACAAATGCCAAGTCCTCCACTTAGAACAAGAACCAAATACATCACTACAAAACGGGGAATAGCTTTATGTTGCTATTTAAGACCAGAACAGTGAGCAACAAGACCACTTTCATTCATGAAAAGGCCAATCTTGTGTGTATTACTGAGACTGGAGTGGGTGAGTTGGGTGGGGCTGCCCACCTGAGTAGTCAGTACAGCACCAGCATAGGCGGGGCTTGGGATATGATTCACAAAAGTTCCATCTTTCTCGCCAGGCAGCTTTCTCCATCTTGCAGCAGTCTTGGGCAGTGGTGGTCTCAAGTTTGATGTTAGAGGCACATACAACAGTGATTCTGGGTGACTTCAGTTTCCATGCTGTGGCTACCTCTGGAGTCCCAAGTTGGACCTGTTGCCTTTTCTGGTTGAAGTTGTACAGTGGTGCCTTGGCTCATGAACGCCTTGATTCACAACCAAATCGGGTCACGAACAAAAATTTCATGAAAATTTAGACTTGGGTCGCGAACTCCGCATCAAGTGGCAACCAAGATCGCGGCCATCTCCCCCACCCCCCAAAGTGGGGAGATGGCCATGATCGCAGTTGGGTTCGTGAAGGGAAGATGTGCGTGATCACGGGCGTGCTCCTGCAGGAAAGATGGGTGCAATCTCAACCATCTGACCCCCCCAACCAGCACGATCGCGGCCATCTCCCCACCCCGCAGTTGCGTTCGTGAAGGGAAGACATAGAGGAGCTGACGACAGAAGAACTTTCTGAACTCCAGAGTGAGCAACAGAAGGCACTTGCTGAGGAGGATTCCACTGTGGAAGAGGAAGACAGGGAGGAGGTTAGCAGTGATATGATACAATCTATTATGAAAAAATGGAATGAGTGCCAGGATTTCTTTGAGAAGCACCACCCCAACATAACTGCAACAGTGCTGAATCTGATGAACGATAATGTGGTCTCTCATTTCCGGAGGGTTATGCAGCGCAGGAAAAAACAAGTGACTTTAGACAGATTTTTCACGAAAATTGACACTGCAGCTAAGAGACAAAGAAGAGAGGAAACCCCTGAAAGAGATCTCCCCAATGTCTTTATGGAAGGGGACTCTCCCTCAAAACAACCTCCCCCCCCCCCCACCTAGGTTAGTGTTCTCCACTGTACTGTATAGTACTTTGTCACTTTGTTTCAAGTTTTTCTGATAAAAAAAATAGAGAACAGAGTAACCTTATTTACATTGAATCTTATGGGGAAATTTGACTTGGATCACAACCAATTTGGGTCACAACCAGAGTCGTAGAACGGATTAAGTTCTTGAGCCAAGGTACCACTGTACTTTCCTTGAAAATTCAGGTGCATAGTCTGGGGATATTCCTAGAACCATCATGGTTGCTAGAGACCCAAGTGACCATGGTAGTTTTTACCAGCTTCAATAGGTGTTAGCGGTGCTAGTAACCTCAAGACTGAATTAGCGCAATGTGCTTTATGTGGGGCTGCCCTCAAGGCTGGTCTAGCAGTTGGCACTAGTACAGAATGCAACCAGATCAACTTCTGTTAGGAGCTTCCCCTTTTTAGCATAAACTCCGGAACTGCTTGTGGCTGAATCACAAGGTTTAAGGTTTTGGTACTAGTGTATAAAGCCATAAACAACTTGGAACCAAGATACCTACAAGAACACCTTCACTCTTAATAATCTGCCAGTTATTAACGTCATTCAGTGTCATGTTCCTGGTGGCTCCATATGGGCTTGTGGCCTGATTAGAGTCCCTCAAAGAAGAGCCTTCAGTGACATATCTCCATGTCTATGAAGCTCCCTACCTCTGGAGGTTAGGTGGGTACCAACATTTTTTTAGCACCTGCTGTAAACACTTTCACTTTAAGAAGCCTTCCTTGAACTAACCAGCTGGTTTTATCAACTCTGTTTTTAATACATTGTTTTATTCTTCATCCTGTTTTACTGTTCACCTCTCTGAAATCTGCACAGTGGAATATGAAGTGGTGTATAAATTTGGTAAATAATTCTCTCTCTCCCTCTCCCTCTCCCTCTCCCTCTCCCTCTCTCTCCCCCCCCCCTTTAAAATCAAAAGTATTTTTTCCCTGTATGCGGAAACCCTCTTTTCTCTGTAGGTGGCCCTGTTTCACTGCTCATCTTGGTCAGAGTCAGGCCAGGGCTACCAACTCTACTACTGGAGGAAATGTTTAAAGTGAGAGGCAGGAAGACCAGGAAGCAAAATATTACAATTATTATCACAAGATAGAATACGTCTGTTCTAATTAGTGGAATCTGAAGACAGCTGCATAAATTGATTTGATCCTTAAAAAGACAAATGTTTCCTTTTTCTGACTGTGAGAGAAGAGAGGGTTGAGAGGGAAATAAATTCCATTGTCTCCATATCACATTTGAGACAATATTTATAAACAAGAACCTGAAAATATATCAGGGGATTGAAATCTGTTGGGTTTAATATTAAGAAAGTGGCATCAGTGAGTGGGAGGAAGCATTCTGAAAAACTAGGTAATGCAAAGTCTGAATCTAAAGAGTGCCAGGTTACACTGACTACTTACTTTATACTTGTAATGCATTGAGGAGAAGCTGTATAAGAAAAACTGAGGGAATGTAGGAATGCGGTGCATGAACAAAGGGTAGACTGAAGAAAAGCTGGTTATTTTGTTTTATCAATCCATGCTTTTGTCATTTGCTGCTTGTAGGAAGCAGTTTTAGAGAGAAGGTGAATATTTCTTGAAATGTGGAGGAGTGGGTTAGGAAATGTGAACCTGTGATAAAGGTGCACACATTGGGACTCTGCAGGCTACTTGCTAAGGTGAACTGCTGAAATGGAGAAACTCCAGGCAGTGCTGGTGTTCTTAAAGATCAGGCTTATAGTTCAATGTGGGATTATCTTCTCTTTACATCACATTATTCTGATAATTTGCATTCAGGATTGGCAACTCTCAAGTAAGCAAGAGAAATATATAGCTTTTTGATATTCAAATTATTTTCTTTTAGTGGCTCAGAACACTACAACTGAAGGAGGAGAAGAGGAAGAAAGTGAGCGGGATTCTGAAACACCTGATCCCAGCAGAGGCTTTCGAGGAACCATGGAAGCAGACCATGGAATGGGGGATCGGATCAGTGCAACAGAAGCAGTTGCAGATAGCAGCGATGCTAGCAGCTCCTGTCCTAGTTGGCTGCGCAAGGTAATTACTTCCATTATCTCAGGGATGAGAGGATAAATGAAAAGCAAATAGCCTGTCTCCAACTCTTATTTTGCAATTTTGGCTAAGAAGCTTCTTCTAAAACTTAAATGCACTATTTTGAGACTTCCTGAAACCAGCACTGGAAAAATGTTCTTCCACTATCAGTTCTTTACAATGATTTTCTAATGTGGTAGGTTGGATTGGACTGCAAATGGAGCTTAATAGACAACAAACTTTTTCCACTTTAAAAGTCAACACATCTTGAAGGATGATCCATATTGAAGTCCAACATGGGCTCAGCCAGGTAGAATGCATTGCTGCAGCTTTAACATGTTAATACTTCCACTCCTACCTGGCTGAGTGTGTCCAGAGGGTGGTGCTGGGGGATACTTGCTCTACCCTATGGCAGCTCCACTATGATGTTCCACAGGGCTCTATACTATCTCCCATGCACTTTAACATTTACATGAAACTGCTGGGACAGGTCATCAGGAGGGTTGGGTTGAGGAATCAGCAGTATGCTGATGACACTAAGCTCTACCTCTTGTTTACACTGGATCTGGGCAAGGCAATCTCCATGCTGAACCAGTGTCTTAGTTCAATAATGGACTGGATGAGGGCCAATAAGCTGAAACTCAATTCAGGCAAGACAGAAATGCTGTTGGTTAATGCTCTGTCTAACAGATTAGATGGCCATTGTCCTGCCATGGATGAGGTTGCACTTTCCCTAAAGGACAGGGTCCATGGTCTCTGATTGGAGTCTCAGTGGCTATGAATGCCTTTATCTAGCTGTGGTGAATACGACTATGGCCTTACCTGCTTAAATAGAACCTGAACATGGTTACTCATGCGCTGGTACTTCCTGACTGTAATGTGCTCTACAAAGGGCTGCCTTTAAAGATGGAGTGGAAACTTCAAATGATCCCAAACAGGACTGCGTGTCTGGGTCAGGTGTTAGTTCATGTGCCCACATAACACCTATTCTGTACAAATTACATTGGTTGCCAGTTGAATCCCAGGACCAATTTAAAGTGCCCAATTTAAATTTAACATACAAAGTCTAAAACGGCTCAGGACCTGGTTACTTGAAGGACCACCTTTTCCAATATACTCCTACCTGCCCATTGAGGTCTGGGAATGAGGTCCTTCTGAGAGAACTATCCCTGAAAGAGGTAAAAGGAATGACATTTAGAAGAAGGACTTTCTTGATGGCTGCCCCCATCCTTTGGAATGGGCTTCCTAAAGACCACCTGGTGCCATCTCTACTTTGATTTTGGTGCCAGGCAAAGACCATCATCTTTTGCAGATTTTATGAATTTAAAACTGATAGTGCTCACTCCACTCCAACAGATTTCTTCCCTTCTTCTCCCTGTTGTAATGTCTGTTGTATGTTGTTAGCTGCTTAGAGAATCCTGTTGGGCTATTGACCAGCATATACATGTGAAAATAAAGTGGTCACCTTTCTTTTTCTGCACAACTGAATGTGTGGTGGCATATTTGGTTTTATTTTTATTGTGATTATTTTATTTGTCCTGTTTTTCATAGTTTCACAATTCTGAATAGCCAAAATAATAAGGCTTGCCTAGGCAATGTCCTGGTATGTGCCTAACAAAGTGAAGACCAAGAAAGCCTGCTGCCCATTCTTTAATGATGCTAAAAAGCTGTTAAAAATAACTATCCCTAACTTTTCCTAATCTGTAGGTAAACAGACAAAAAGGAAATCAGTTTGTCTTAAGATTGCACAGAATAGTTCATATCCATAGGTTACATTCTGTGTCACTAAAATGGATAAAATGGAACAACAAGACATTTTATGTGACATGCAGCTGAATTTGGAAGGGATTAAAAGTTCATACCAGACAATACACTGCCAAAACTAGGCTCCTCATTTTCACAATTCAGAGCAGGGTGTATTATTGGAGGGGAATGCAGTCAACAGAGCAAACATCATGGAGAAAGTAGCCAGCCAGATTTGGGGAAGAAAACATTCCAGAGTAGCACAGTATGGCAGTCAGTTATATCCTGACACTAGAGTAACTTTGAAAGAGAACCGTGAATCATCCTTTTAAAAACATTACTGGGGTGCAAATCTTTATTGTCAAAATTCTATTGCAAGTAGGCAGGTACATCCCCACTGTTCTGCCACTTCTAATGAATGCAGGAGTCCTTTTTTTCAGGAATGGAACAATATTTACTGCAAAAACGCTCTCCTAATTGCTGTCCTGACAATAATGTTCACTGTCCTTCACTGTTTGGAAAGCAGTCAGCAGTTTTTCATATATATTTAAGACAGAAAGCTGCTTGTATCCCTCATTCATATTTACCTACTTATGCGCTATCTCTTTGTGCGGCTAGGAGCTGGAGAATGCAGAGTTCATCCCGATGCCTGAAACCCCCTCTCTTGTGAGCCTGACCTCTTCAGATTCCGATAAAGAAACTCTTCCCTACAATGAACTGAAGGGATTTCACATGCCGTCACCCACATCTGTTGATATTAACAAGGCCAAAACAGGGTCCTGGGTAATGTAAACATCTGTAAAAATAAAGGGCTGGAGGTAGAAATGGGGTGCATAATGACTGGCTTAAGAAATCTTTGAGTACAAGAAATATGTTACTAACAGTACAGTGGTACCTCGGCTCACGAATGCCTTGGTTCACGAACAAATCGGGTCACGAACAAAATTACTGAAAAATTTTGACTTGGGTGGCAAACTCAGCTTTGGGTGGCGACCAAGATCGCAGCCATCTCCCCCCCCCTCGAGTGGGGAGTGGCCACGATCGCAGTTGCTTTCGCGCAGGGAAGGCGTGTGTGATCAGATGTGTGCTGCTGCAGGAAAGACAGGTGTAGCACAGCAGAGCCATGGGGGAGATGGCCGATGGAACTGCAGTCGTGGCCATCTCCCTCCCCCATGCGTGATCAGAGGTGTGCTGCTGCAGGAAAAACGGGTGCAATCTCGGCCATTCCCCCCCCCCCCCCCCCCCCCCACAATCCTGGCCATCCCCCCAACCCCCCGGGGGGGGGATGGCCCCAATCAGGCTGGGGGAAGGGGGGGGGAGATGGCCACGATTGCACCCAACTCTCCCTCCCCCAGTGCACCCCGTTCGCACCCGCCTCTGCCTTCCCCAATGCGCTGTTTGCGCCTGTCTCCTCCTCCCCCAGCACGCCTCGTTTGTGCCCGCCTCTTCGTCCCCCAGCATGCTGTTTGCACCCGTCTCTTCCTTCCCCACCCCTCGAGTGCACTGGGATGACGGGCGTTTGCCTGGATGACAGGCGCCTGCAGGGATGACAGGCCAATCTCGTTCGTGCTGTGGGGGTGGGGAGATGACCGCGCTTGTGCTCGGGGGCAGGGGGAGATGGCCGCAATATTTGTTGTTGTGACTTTGCTTCACGTTTTTCTGATTTAAAAAATAGTTACAGAACAGATTGACCTTATCTACATTGAACCTTATGGGGAAATTTAACTTGACTCATGACCAATTTGAGTCACAACCAGAGTCCAGGAACGGATTAAGTTCATGAGCCAAGGTACCACTGTACTGTACAATATTCCACAAGGAATCTAATTAAACAGACTTTATGAGAAAGGTAGCAGGAGAGGGGTTAGGTTTTAAAGAGTGATTAAAAATCAGTGAAAAATTAATCTCCAAAGTAGTTGATTTGGTAGAAGGAGACACTGCTGAGAATTATCTGAAATCAATATTGTTAGTGGCATCTATTATGTCTCATCCCAAGAAGCACCTTTTGAAAGGCACTTTTTGCTCACTGTTCATTTCAATAAATCTGATAAGGGTTGGAAAGCAACAAACAACAACAACAAAAAGTCCCAACACTCCAAGAAACAGAAGCATATGTGAAATAGATGAAATTTTTAGCTTTATTATGCCCAAAGGAGGATGTATTTCACATATGTGGCTTGACATATTTGGCAGTGATTTATATATGAACTAATATTTCAGTTTACTGGTAACCCAGAAATTACTCTTCCATTATTCAGTAGTTTTATCTCTGAGTTCTTAGCAGCTCTGCTTTCATCTTCCAGCCATGGCTTTTTACCATGATTTGGCCAAGCACTGATTTAGAAGACTTCACAAATTATGTGTACATATTCCTAAATCTCCTATCTTCTATAGCAGCACCTTTTGGATTCAGCAGAGCCCTGTTGTGGGGAGAAAACATCTGTGCTACCATCTACATGTAAATGCAGTTTGCTGCAAGCTGAAGTGGAGCGTCTGAGTAGTTTAATATCCAAGTGCTTGGCTGACCAAGAGAAGCTGCAGCAAGAAACCACCCGTCTCAGTGCCCAGCTCCAGTGTCTGTCCAGGAGGACAGAAGGAACACAGCAAGTAAGGTTTCCACTGAGGGAATTTAGATTAATTCAGTATTTTGGCCTTGAAACTGGTGCTGAGTTCCAGATTAAGAGAATTTGGAATGCTTGGATAATGTTGGTTGTGAATTGACAGAGCCAGAAATCTTGTACTGCAATCATTTAGTAACTTTAGACAATCTTGGATTGTTAAAGTTTTCTTAATTGAAGTAAAACTGTAGCCTGTTTTTGTTGGTTGAGTTGGAGGATCCCAAACTCTAAATTTTGCTTGTGGCAGTCTAGTATCAGCCTAAACTGTGCAAGTAGATGGAGGCTTCCTTACATCATTCCACCTTTGTTTAAATTCCCCAGTTTGGAGAACCCTAGAGGCTGACAATCAGGATAAAGTTATAAAAACAGGGTTTTTTTCTTTTCTGCTCTCCATGCAATTATCTAGAGCATAACTTGAGCCCAGTAAGCTAATGGTAGGCAGAATGGCTGTATTAATAAGTTCCAGATGAAAGATTTCTGGGAATCGGGTCTTTTTAGTAATATTTTTTGCCAGTCTGAGCCAAATAGCTGTTACTTTCCAATTTTATTCTGTATACAAGTATAGAATAGCAGGGAACATAACACAACTGTAGTTAAACCAGACATCCAGTTGACAAAATACATGTTGCATTTGACACCTGTAGCATTGCTCAGTTAAGAGGTTTGTTTTTGTTTGTCTGGACAGCTGATGGCTCATTCCAAAGCCACACAAACAGCCAAGGAAGAGATGGAAGCAGATCCAAAGCCTGACTTGGATTCCGACTCCTGGTGTCTCCTGGGAACTGACTCATGCCGCTTCAGCCTGTAGTCTTCTGAGTCCACTGGAATACATCCAATTTCACAGCACATTAACTGAATGCAGAGAGCAGCTTTCCTGGCTTCAGGTTCTTTAAGAACAAGGAGGTCAGGGTCTCTACAGCATCCATGTATGCAAGAGGGGAAGCACTTCCTTAAGCTATGAACCTAGGAGGGACTTTAGAGAGAGGCAGAGCCAGTGTCTGTTCAGACATCAGCTGCAAGTCTTCTCTGTTTACACTATGTCAGCCTGCCTTGAGGCCAGGTAGCCACACCACAGGAATGGCTCCAATAGTAGCATGTGCTTCATTTCTTTCCCAACTTTCCAAGCAGTAGTCAACTCATCGTCAGGCATTTTAAACAAAGTGATTGAAGGAGAAAAACACTTGAGCACCTACATTTGCAGTCAAATCAAGAAGTTATTTTCAGCCTAAGTCAAAGGGGCAGGACCTCAGCCTGTGGGAAAGTCATGTGCAGTAAGAGAAGCCTAGAAAAAGTCTTATTCTGAAAGAGGGTGAAAGCACCCCAGAGAAACTGTATTTTTCACTTAGCAGTTCTAGTCCTATTTCCTACAGCCTGTACAAATTCTGTTTATAGCTTTAACTTAAAGGATGTTTGGGAGGGGATCTCAGGCACCCTTTTCTTGCATTCCCACTAAGTTCTTTTTGGATGCAAAAAAATTGGTTGAATTTTCCAGCTGTCCAAGAAAGGGTCTGTGGTCCTAGAGTTCACAGCAACTGTATTTTTAAGCCATATTTGAAATTAGACCCACAATTATTTGCTCCTTCTGTTCAGCTTGGATACCAGAGTAATCTGTTGAAAACCTTTTCCTTTGTACCCTTCCCCAAATCAGTATTTTTGTTTCCTCTCCAGTACTTGATGAAGCTGGAGCTGTGTCAGTTTTAACAGTATGTATCCCATCTAATTGAATTACTGGTAGTAGTTGCCACAGTAGATTCTCATCATTTCTTGTATTATTAATATCAAGCTGTATATGAAGGAACTTGGAAGACATGATTTTCCATTTTAATGGTTTATCTAACTGACTTACAGCTTTGGCATAATGTGACTACTGGGAGCCACATATGTATTCCTCCCCAGCAGGGAATGGTATTCCCACTGTTCATTTTAACAACATTATAGCCTGACCTAAGTTTCTTGAAGTTATATTTGCTTAGTGTCCCTTTACTTTTGATTTGGGAGTCCTAGATTGTAATCTCATACACAAATCGTAACATCCCCTTATGCTCTCTTCTATAGCTATATCAAGCTGATGAACATTTTATGGCTGGTAAAAGGTTTCAGATCATCCTACTCAAATAGTATATTTGAAGGAGTTACCTGTTTCCTCTCAAATACTTTCTTGGAACTGAATCAGATACAGTCTTCTGTTCAGCCCCAGGACTAAAGTGCCTTTCCTTACAATTTGTTAGTGGTAGGAGGAGGAGAAAGAGTCTGAATATAAGAAATATCAGATGTTCCATAGGTCATGCTCTTTAGTTGACTTCCCACATTCTAAATGTATTGGAACAGTTTTGGTTTTGTTTTTTCAAATTAAATGCTGTTATGACTGCAGAGACTGTCCTATTATAAGGTAGGAATAGAGAGTGAGAACAACCAGGCCTGGGCCATGTCCAGCAAGGGATCACTGAGTTGATGGGAGTCACTCATCTACACTGTACTATCTTTACTTCTCAGTGCTCCACATTTGGAAAGTGAGACGCACAGGCAAGGTTCCCCATGAAATGAGTGGAATACTTGATTACCATATTGAGTGAAGGTGAACTGTGCTCCACAGCAATATATGTGCCTTTAAAAGATTTACACTGTTCAAACTGTGCCTGTTACAGACCACGATATATGCACCAGCCATGCTATGCAACCAAAGAAGCAGTTTAAGCAAGAATTCTTGCCCTGGGATAAGAGGGTAAAGGGCAAGTAGGCCAGGGTGCCTTTAAGTAGTTTCAGATCCATTTCCCCTTTTCCTTTTCAGCAGTGCTAGCTCTATAGATGTCAGTCTCCTGCTAGCATTGCTGTTAATTTGTTATAGTACACGTATGCTTACACTGACAAACTAGCTGAAAACTAGTTTGTCATTATCTATCTTTGGCAGATTCAATGGTGGAATGGTTTGAAGTTTTCTGTTTAAATAAATGCTGACACGTATTGCCTTTCTGTCCTGATTCTTTGTAAAAGATATGAAAGTATGCATCTATAGGATGGCCAGAGGTCTTTGTTTTAGAAACAGTTTGCCTGTCTGCTGCTGTTTTTTTTAGAAATTCAGTTTCAAGTTATCAAAACTTGGTAAGACAGATTTAATCATCAAAGGCACAACTTAACCATCTGTATAGTATTGTGCAGTTCAATCCTATCAGTGCTGTTCTGAGTCATGTAAATGACTGGAAAAATCATCAATACCAGTAATCTGTACATTAAGATAGGAGCAATGCACAGGAATAACTGCTATCTTACATTTACCTATATACTATTTAAATTATCTCCAGCTTCAATGTTAAGAATGAATATTTCAGCTTCAGTTTTCTTCCTACCAGAGAACCTGTGTGATTTGGCTAAGGATGGCTCTGAGTAAAGTGAATGTTATATTTTCAAGTATAGGGATCAACCACTCTCTGTCTTCTTCCCAGCCATCCTAGAAGGCAAGTCCCAGATGCACCCTGGAATCATCACAGTACCAGATAGGACTTGGATGTCCCCTACAGTTTCCTTCCCCATTTCATCTTGACACTGATTATGCAATACTCATGACTTCAGATATGAATCAGCCTTTCCCCCATCCTATTCCTTTTTTCATAACATCTTTCTGAAAAATATATCTAGGTAGAAAGCTTGCAGCTTTTTTGAGATTTGAGCTAGCCTAATATGGATGATGGACTACTTCTAGTGGCTGACATGGCTATATCTACTTTGCTGTTGCTATAATTAACTTGCAGCTAAGGAGGAGACATAAATTTCTGTCTGGGCTCACACATTACTAGAAGTCATGGTGATTTCTTACTGGTTTTTCATGTTATCAGAACCCAGTCATTGAGTTTCAGTGTGAAATGTTTGGTTTTCCAAAACCATAGAGAGAGACACCAATTTGTTGTAAGGTTTCTTGTGAAGCTGAACCTGGGAACTCCCATTTTCCCACTGGTGGCGAAGAAACACCAGAGTCCCGTGAAAGAGAGGGGGTGCTCCAGACAACCATTCTCTACTACAACAGCTCTCTAGCAACACAAAAACGCAGCTACTCATCCCTGACTTCTGGATGTGCATGTTTGGCATACAGGAAACAAGTTTGCTAGAGATTTACTTTTTGGATTTTCTCCTAGGATCTGCTGAGGTACAAGGTGTTTCCTCCCAGCTGATCACTTTCAATGATTATGCTATTTTCTCAGAAACAACCACACACACCAAATTCTTTAACTGGAATTATTTGGTTTGACTGTTGATGCACATGGAAGAGAGAAAAAATACACATGACTACCAGAATACCTGTTCAATTTCTTTGTAGTTTCTGGGATTATTTTGAAGGTAATAATTATGTAGCAGTAATAGATGGGATTTAGAAAGAAAACATGCAGGTATATTGACTATAAAGCTGTATAGCTTCCTGCCCAAAATTAGTTTTTACCTTTTCTATATCCCACTCTAAAAATGGAGATTTACTTTGACAACTGTCAAAAGTAATTACAATAAATGCAAGTTTGCATGTTGCCAGAGAGGTAAAATCTTGGGAACAAGTACAAAAGTGAAAGTGCCCTTAGGATTTGATTCCAAAAATGCACACATCTGGATCATTTACAAAGGGGGTAAACAATATGCTGTGTGTCCTGATTTTTGTCTAGCTGGCCATTTTTGGCCATCTAAATAAAACACCAAGGAGGCACAGTTCTTTCCATGTTTGCTGTGGGGGTTGGGGCAGGGGCTTGGCCTTCAGACTCCCATCTCGGAGAGCATAAGATCTTGAAGCTGTGACTTAATAATCCTATACACTCATCTCTAGACACCAGCAGAGAATTTGGAGTATGTTGCAGCTGTTGTTTTATAATCTCAATACAGTGACCCTTTCAGGGCAGACACACTGCAGGGCAGACACACTGCATTCCATGAGGGTACATTCCCCCAAAAGAAGCACCCACTTATTTCATAACAACCAACAGTTTTATTTTTACCCTCTTTAATGCAGTATCAGTATTTTGTACTGTTCAATGAACACCACCATTTTGAATATTTGTGTCTCAGAGAAAATCAGTGGCAATTCTTGTGAGTAACATAATCTGTTCAAATGTTACACCATAAAATTAGCCTAATATCAGAGAGGAGATTGTGACAGAAAGGCTTTACATTCCCACATGCAATAAAGTACCTGTTGCAATGTCATCCAAATTACCACATTCTGCAGGTTTTTATTTATTGCAGATTGTTGTAATTGAGAGAGTGTGCATATAAACATATTAGCTATTCTGCTACTCGCTTGAATAATTTCTCTGGCTCCCAGCTTTCTCTCAATAACCTGACAGCATAATTGCGGATACTCCAAATGCCCACGTCTTAAAGAACCTTCTTAGTTGCCTTTCCCTCAGCTTATGGTTGCATAAAGATACAGGAATGAAAAGCTACAGCAAATGATGCTGAAGTAGCCCATCCCACAATTATCATGTCCATTTTTCTTAAACGTATCTCCTTAGAAACTGCTTTGGAAAAGTGGAACAAACCAAGTGTCTGCCATTGTTTACACATGGCGAAGAAACTGAATGGCTATCAAATTCTTCCAAACCAAATATGAAGAACAGCATACTATACATCCAAGTAGGAACTGCCTCTTTCCAACTGTTACACTAGTAATATTCAGATAATTATAAGAACAAGGATGCTGTTGAATAGCAAGAACATCAGTACAAAATGTTATATGCCTCTGTCACTGACAGCACACTAAAGTGATTCTACTTAGCAGATGCTTTCAAAGAGCTGCAAGGATTGAGCCAAAAATGGCAGAAGCTTGATCTTTTCTGCTGTTTTTTTTCAGTACTTCCTTCCAGAACACTACTCTTATATCCTAATAGGGCGACAGAAATCCTAATGTTCCTGCTAAATGTGCAAGAAAAGAATAGAACCAGTTAGCATACAGCACAGGTGTGAAATGTCCTATCTTAGATTTAACTCTATTCTCTTAGGAGGCACTAACTTTAATATACAAGGGCTTTAATATTATAACAAATCGTTAGCATCTTCCCAATTTTAAACCGTTGTATTTTTAAAAATGGAAGCAGCAGCACTGGTAATACTGCCCACTATTCCGTGCTGTCAAATTGAGGGAAATAGTGGGACACATCCACATGACTGCACCAGTGCAGATCTCTCTTTGGCCCAATGCTAGCAACGTCTCTTTTGCTGTGGTGGTGGGGGTCTGTTCTTAATGTTCTTGCATTTAGGAATGTGTCTCTCGGCTACCTTAGGTGCAAACTGACGGGTACAATACGGACACAATTTGTAGTCTGGGTTCTCCATGGCAGGTACTGGGGGAAGATCTGAGGCCTTTCCCCCTTTGGAGATTACTCGCTGCACCTCACGAGCCCTGCGCAATGTCTTGATGAAAGATTCGTGCTTCTGCCTCCAGTTGCTTTGCTTAAATATATCACTGCTTTGCTTGGAAGCCTCTGAGTTTTGGATGGGTGTTTTTTTCTGTAGTGACAAAGGGGAGTGGAAGAAATCATTAGTACAACCCTGTCAACTGATACTTAGTATTTCTTGCAATTTTTGTTGACGACACAATTCAGTTGTCACAGAATAGGATACTTCTGATACAGTAAATTTTAAGCCCCTTTAAGGCAGACAGTGTGCACAGGAGAATAGGAAGCTGAATCACACCATTCATTCCTGTAGCCCATTATTATCTACATTGAGTGGCAGTGGCTCTCCCAAGGTTTCAGAGGCAGAATTTTTCCAGCCCTACCTGAAGATGCTGGTGATTGAAGTAGGGACCTTCTGTGCATGAAGTATGTGCCCTATGAGTGGAATGCTTGCTGCTTTTTGTTTAAGCCATGTCATGTTGTTCACAAGTGTACTGCAGATCTACACCACTGCTTCTACCTAACCCAATACCATAAATTACATCATCTGACACTTGTAAGTGGAGTACAGATTAAACACTTGCACTAGAAAAAAATAATTGAAAAACAGAGTATCTGTTCCATTTCACTCTTCAATGTAAGAGGACTTTTTACCCCACTCACTGTTACACTTCATGATCACATTTCTTCACACAGAATCATGCAGGCCATCATATCCAACATCTTACTGGATGCAGGACTCGAGTCTCCCATCAAAGTACCCAATCTGACCCCACTTAGCTTTTGAAATTAGGCAGGATCACGCACTTTCGGCTATATGATCAGTGTTAATATGCACTATGACCACTGACTCCACCAAAGCATGATCTACTGAGTTATCTAGATGACATACAGTATCTCCAGAGTTCGCAGCAGGCAGGCAAGTGGCCACACAATCTGCACACCTGTCACACACCCAGCTATTTATGGGTGAGTTTGCATAACAATACAACTGATTCTACAAAAATAAGAATCAGTGTGGATATTTTAGTGTGGATTGTTTGTGGCACCACAATGGTGCAGCCTCACAGATGATCAGGCTCACCATGGGTGGTTCTCCTCACTCTTCCAGTGAGCATACAGGTGTCCATTGTGGCACAACTCATGTTGTCTCCCCATCCCCACTCTTTTTGTTTACTTCCCTCCTGCCCTTAAAACTTCAAAAAACACAACTGGGGTTGTATTTTCTTTTTCACATGCTACTGTTGCTTTTTAAATGACTGCTGATGGTAGTGGTCTTCTGCACTTACACGTGTGTTCTTACAGATTTCCACCATATGTAGACTTGCCTGGTTGCTGCCCTTTTCAGTTTCAGTTGCCACGCCATTAAACCTGGCAGAGCTTTTGACTCTGGGTTAACCCATGGGTTTTTGGGGTGGCTTGTATTCCAAAAGCATGCCACCCTGCAGAAAAGTGGCTCATGTTGGTCAGTGTTTGGACAAGAGACCACCTGGTGGTCCCATATAAATCCAAAGGAGGGAAGAACATGCATTAGCTTGGAGTAAGCACATGTATTACCTGGGAGATATCTGAGCCTTTCAAGAGATGATATGTCTCCAATTCTGTGCCCTTTGCTCTAGCCTTACTTGAATCAAACACTTTTCTCTTGGAGCCATGATTTTTGTTGCAAATGCTTATGTGCTTCTCCAACCTGGAGCAGTAAAGCCTCCGTCCACAGGAGCTGCACTCTCCCCAGTCTTCTACGCTGCTTGGAACCTCCATGTGTAATGGTTCTGCTGCCACACAGGCAACCTGTTGTGAAGAGACTACTGCTGGAAAAGCTTGGACATGCTTAGGAGCCAGTTCTGGGGAACAAGTAGCTGAAATCTGAGATACATTTTCTCGCATTTTACTGTTGCTAGCTACCAACCTTTGCTTTTTGAGCCTTTCCATATGGAGCACCTGGGGAAGCAGAGCAGCACCCACTGAAGCTATGGGACTCTCTGGAACATGTACCTTTTGACCACTGCATGACCGAGTTGAGGACCTGGAAGCATGACTCTGAGTAACACCTGCTTTCACCTCAGGCATCACTAGTTCTCCTCGTTCCCTTCTTGTTCCAGTCTCTGCCTGCTGCCTTTCCCACTGGATCCTTCGGAGCTCTTCTTCTGTTCTCCTCAGCTTCTCCTTGAGGAGAGCCTCTTTCCGCTGGATCTCTTCCTCTAAGCTCTGTCCAGCAGCTTCAAGTTTTTGAATGCAGCCTGGCTCTGCCCTTCGTAAATGAGATGTTGCTCTCTTGGATTGTTCTATGGAAAAAGGAGATGGCACTCCAATAGGCTGAGCCTTGACTGCATGTGACCTTCCTTTTCCTTCTGCATTAGTGCCACTGGAAGGAGTTTCTTTAGTAAGTGGGCTTCCAACCTGCCAAGAACTGGGAAGGGGTGCTTTCCCAGCTTTATGGTGAAGGACTGGTTTAAGTGGATATGACCTGTCTACACCTCTCCGCTTGCTTCCCCAGTGCAAGGGCAGAGTGCTGGCTTGTTCCTTCAAATACCAGCTGTGGGAGCCAGCAGAACAGAAGCCTGCCTTTTCTAAAATCAGCCGACTACTTTCTGCAGGCTGAGAACAGGAAGAACTCCGCTCTTTTTGGATCTGAAGTTCTGCCAGCTTCTCATCTTTGCTGCGCAAGAATTGCTGCTGGATATTAGTCCTCAGGTGCTCTACTTGGGACTGTTCTTTAAGTGTGTCAGAATGACACCTTTCTTGGTTTGTTGTAGGAAGTCTGGGATTGGATGCTACTGGATCCATACGTGAACACACAGCCAGCTGCAAGTGAGCCATTCAGTATTTCCAGTAAAACCTAAGGAAATGCAGTAAGTTATTCATGTTATCAGTGGGACTTTCCTATTTCCTATGTTATGATTGGGACTTTCCTATTTACCCTTTTACTTTATAGGGAAAAAGAGAAGCAAGACCCATCAGCCCTGGCAGACCTTTATAAAGTTATATAGAGGACATTTTTTAAAGAGCCACAAAACAGAACAGTTGTTGCATATATGAAGGGTCACCTTCAAATGTAACCTTTTAAGTGAATACTGTCCTCCCACTTAAGGATACAAGAGTTCCTCCAATGAGGCCCTGCATCAGATTTCAATTCACTCAAAGCTCCATGGATCAACATGCATAATTATGTTAATACAATTGCACATTATGATAATATCACTTCAACAATCTTAATGGGAAAAATATAAGAGACCCTACATGAACTCCATCCTGGATGGAAATGCTTTTTGGTCCACCAGGACCATGAGAGTACAGAATTATGAGGGCAGAAAGAAATTCATAATTGCATAGCAATTAAGTGAACATAGCACAAACAGTATATAAAGAGCAAAGCAGGTGGTATAGAGCCATACAACACAAAAGAAATCTTATGCCTACTCAGGGCTCTTTTTTTTTCCTAATGAATATTTATTTACTTCACTTTTTTAGTGCCCAATAGGTGAGGCATCCTAGACAATTATTAATACTACAAAGGAGGTAAGTTAAAACAGCTCTAATAAAATCAATGGAAAGCCTAATAAGGCTGCCCCTTGCCCCATTACTTGCTTCCCTGCCCCAGAGCTGCAATACAGGATTCCAAACTCATTCTGCAGCCAATCATGGCGCGCCTCAAGGCGTGCATAAGAATGAGGCAAGGAACTTATATCCTATATATCAAAGTATGTGGGTGGCAAGATTGCTAAGGACTCTATGGAAGCATTTTGTCAGTTTGACTATATTGGTTTTTGTTTCTGTGGTTGTGCTGTTGTTTCTATCTGAGCTGCTTGAGCATGTGATTACAACCAGATCCGGCTGGCATAAGGTTGGGAAATGTTTGCAGCAGATGTTTAGACTATAGAACTTTTATCAGCAAGATACAATCCACAAAGGTGAACTAAAAGATGGGCCACACATTTCAGAAAACTAGGTTCCTGCCAAAATACACACTTTTAAATAATGACAGCAATTCTGTATAATGGTAAATCACTATCGTCAAACAATTAGCTCTCAGTGCAAAGGGCATGCATTGTTTTGGTTCAAAGGTATATTAAGAAATGCAACTGATTGGGCCTCAGCTTCTGAATAAACAGGTCCTTTAGCTGGTATAACCAGCTAGTCAATTTCAGAGTCTATGTACACTTCGTATATTTATTTACATCCAACGGTCGGTGAGAAGCCTGGGGGTGGGGTGGGGTGGGGGACTAACCCACGTTCAGATTAATTCTTTTAAAAACAATTCCAAAGTCAAAATCTTGAGTCAATTTAGACTGGAGAAAATGCCTGTAACTCCCAGCATGCCCCGGATTTTATTTTTTCTAATTTTGCAGAGGACTGCACCTTAACAAGAGCTACACGTACATGCATTTACGATTAAGTTCCATCCCTAAAGGAGACAGTAATGGAAGTGGCATCCTTTAAGGAACAGTAGGCTGTTGCTGAAGATTAACGGTAGTTTATGCTTAGAATTAGAGTTATCACAGCAATGCTTCCTTCTAATGTTTGCCTGAAGCAACTACCTGTTCAGTTCTCTACGATACAACGGGCGCAGCGGTCTTACAAGCAGAAACGTGAGGAAGGCAAGGGACCCGATCGCAATGGCAACTTGAACTCACACTTGCCACAAGCCCTAGACTGCGTGCATCAGAGGCACATCACCCCATCCCGTACGGTCAACTGAATCAGCCACCCTTGCCTCTTCTTACCAGAGCCTCCGATCCGCCATGTGGCTGTGTACTACAGTTGCCTAGCAACGAGCACGCGGAGACTATATTCGATTGCGCTCTAGGGACTTCCGGTCAGCTTCTCTAACCTCTGTATAATTTTAACAAGCTGTGTCATAAAGGCCGACCTTCTTTTTCTCCCTCCCTCCCTCCCTCAGGATATTTAGTAGTTCACATATGTAACTATCCCTCGCTGTTGTTTCACTGGATTCGTCGCTCTGCCTATACGGTTCCCTTCTCTGAAGACTAGTTCTCGTTTTATCCAACGGAAGAGGGTGTCTGTGCTTTCGCTCAACTTTCAGCTTCGCTTCCGCTCTACGTGCCGAGGCCTTTCTAATCACCCTGGAAGAGGCAGCTCTATGATAAGCCGGTTCGGAGCCGTTAGGGGCTGTTGCTGCGCCACAAAGGCGCTGTCCTCAGACTGGCTGGCTCGAAGACGGGCGTTCTCCCTCGTGGCGAGGCTGGTGGGAGTTTTGCGTTGTCAGAGAAAACATTGATCGCCCTCTAACCCTTCAGCTCCAAAGGCGCCTCCCACGTCCATATTCAGGAGGCTGCGAATAAGGGCAGAAGAATGTCGGAGACTTGCGCTTCCGTCTTCCGTCTTGGCCGCCTATATAGGGCAGGGGATGCGAGTGAGGGAAGGATTGTGGCCGGGAACAGGGGGAGTCTTTCTTCCTGGTTGATATTCACTGGGTCGAGCTCCCCTCTGCACCCACATGGCGCAACGGTTGGAGGCTGTTGGGAGGACCGTCGTCTTCCTGCATTCGAAGGGGTGGATGTGGGGTTGGCACCTGCATCTCCTTTCCTGTCTAATTGCGCTTCTGCTTTTGGTCCAGGCACCGGCGACCATGGCTGAGGGAGATGGCCTAGTTTCAGTAGATTATGAAGTATTTGGGAAAGTCCAAGGGGTGTTTTTCCGCAAACATACACAGGTGCGTGTGTCCTGCCTGTAAGGCAAACAAAATGTTAGACTGGTAGCAGTTTAGATCCCTTGTTATTTCCTCCTCTGTAACCACTTGTGCTCAGTAATGGTAAGTATTTGGATCTGAGAGCTTCGGAATGCAATGTTACATTTGCTTACCTGGAGTAAAGCCATTAAAATAGTGGGATTTATTTCTGAGGAGATGAATAGAAGATGGTGTTAGATTCTTTTCTTAGAAGCCGTCCTATTGTAAGCTGAGTCTTGTTACTGACATTTCCAAAGTGCTAAACAGGAAAAAGCTCACTTTGAGATATTAGTTTCACACAGATATATTCAGTATTTTTCTGTCCATTCGTTTTAATTATATTGCCTGGAAGGGGTCTGCATTTTTCTTTTTTCTTTTTAGGCTCAAGGAAAGAAGTTGGGTGTGGTAGGCTGGGTCCAGAATACTGACTACGGTTCTGTGCGAGGGCAGATCCAAGGCCCTACTGCTAAAGTGCGACAGCTTCAAGAATGGCTTAAAAAGACAGGGAGTCCCAAGTCTGAAATTGACAGAGCTGAATTCCGCAATGAGAAGAAGATTGCTCGTTTAGAGCATAGTGACTTTTGTATTGTCAAATAAGGCCCAGTGGGAGAAAGCATTATACTTACACAAAGTACCATAGGTTTATCTAGAAGAAAGTAGTCTTTAGTTTTCTAGTATTTGTGTGCAAATTTTCTCAATATTAAATGTTTATTAATATTGTTATTAGATTGCATGTTCTCATCTATAGGCTGGTTTACTGACCTAATGTCTTGACTACAAATATATTAGCCTTTAATGAAGAAATTCCCTATGTATATTATGTCCAAATGTAACCTTACTTTGTAACAGTGTTATTTTGCACATACAAGTGAGTTAGTGATGTTTTTGTTCTTTTTAGTTCCCATGCCATATAAATTGTGCTTTATACTGTAGATATTCCTTGAAACATGCATTTGATTTTTGGTTTAGTTTTCTTAGAATAAGTTCAGTTTATAATCTAAACAAAAATCCAATTCCTACTACCATTCTGTCACACTTTGATCAGTTTGACCAAGAAACAAACCAAACTGAGGCCATGTAGAACAGCGGTCCTCAAACTTTTTCAATAGGGGGCCAGTTGAAAGGCTGCAGTGACTATCGTGGGCTGGTGAGGTGGGGGTGCCTGGGGGCGCGGGCCAGTGAGGTGCTGTCGGGCGCATGCGAGGCGGTGGCTCACTTGGAGATCTCCCAGCGAGTCCAAACTCTTCTCCAAGCAAGCAAGCCACCACCTCCCCGCTCACACTGCGAGGCAGCGGCAAGTGCACGCGTATGGGAGGCAGGTGGCGGCTTGCTCACTCAGAGACCATGTCCAAGTGAGCAAGCCACCACCTCCCTGCCCACGCAGCAAGCATGCGCGCAGGCAGTGAACGGTGGCGCAGGCTGGATGGATGGCCATGGCGTGCCAGATCCGTCCCATGGGCCGTAGTTTGAGGACCCATGATGTAGAGGAAGAGAATGGAAGAGTACTGCTGGATCTAGACCAATATTCTGTTCCTTTCATGATAAATCAGAAGCCCAGGAAAGTTCACAAACAGGACATGACTGCAGATACTGGCTTAGTAGCCATTGAAAGCCTTATCTTCCATGAAAAATATGATAGGAACAAGTATGATTTCCTGAATAGTTGGGAGCCACTGAGAGTAGACAGCAGGTTCAACCCTCACTGCATTATTACCTTTGAGTGTGGCCTTTTAGTTTTTTTTGCACAAAATGGATTGACCAGCTGTGGAATGCAACTTCTCCCATTGGCAACACTGCATCCTTCTGGAGTACACTATACAAATCTAGACCACACAATCATAAGAATAGGTGTTTTGCTGGTATATAATGCTGGAGTTTTAATGGGACAAAGCAGGGCACAAATAAGTGTGCTATTAGTCTTATGGCAACAAAAGTACAGTAGTACATTTTACTTGCTGTCAGACTTGGTATATAAACATAAGATCTAGAACTTAAAGTATCCTGTCAGTGTTCACATGAAAAGTAAAGACATCTAGCTCATTCACTTCTGCTACAAGAAGAAACACAGTAAGGAGAAGATACATTTCTACTCTGCCCCAAAGGGTTTGGAGAGTTCTGATACAAGTCATGTTCTTTTGACTATAGATAGTTGCTGCTTCTCCAATGGATCTCTGATTTCACTCTCGCTTTGATACAGAGCCATGTATCACATGTGTGAAAATGGTGGAAGCAAACCCTTGCCAGAAAGGTCTAGGAATCTTACTCTTTGAGGCATGCTCATATAGTACTTGCAAAGAAACTGCATTGACTTAAATTGTACATTTTCAAGAATAGTGCCCCATGAAATTATAACATTCTTGCTTGTTACAGTGCACTGTATTATTAATGGTGCTGCTCACTAATATAGCTGTGACTCATTGCTTCCCATTCAATCATCTCTTTAGAAGAGCCTAACTCAAATTCTATTCTGTTAAACCAAAGACTTACATTGTGAAGCCTATCCTATATTTTACATGAGATGGTTTACAAATGTGTTGTACATTCGCAGTCTGTACTACACTGAGAAAGCTGCTTTATATGGCTGGTGTTCAGATGTGGCTAAGAAATTCTAAAAAAGGCCCAATCCTCTGGTGCATATACACACTATAGCACGTTTTAAACACACCCTTCACGTGTTGATTTGGTTTCTAGCTGAAGTAGTCAGTATAGAGATAACTCTTGCACTCCTTGAGTACAGAGCAGTGGAGGAAGCAATTTTTTTCTAGTAATTACATTAGTAATGGTATCTACATTTGTGTCATGTGTTATTAATAGTGTCTGTACTCAGAGTCAGATACTATCATACTTTTAAGGTGAAATAGGCATCCCACTTTTCAGACAGATGTAATTGAGTTTGGCTTAACTAGCCTGCCTTTTCCTTTCTCTTACTTTGGACAATGCATATAATAATCTAACTGGACATCTTTAATATGAATATTGCATTAAAAACCAAGCTATTTCAATTTGAAATACAGCAGAAACAGGAAAGAACCCTGCCACTTCACAATAATGATTTAACAGTCATATCCAAATATACATGTTTGTATAAACAGTCCATATGTCTGAATAGATATCCAAATGAGATGGTGCTGTAGGATATATGCTCAAAGAGAGCAATAGGAGTCTCAGACTAGTGGTTTAGACAGTGGCTAGTTTATATCATTTGGGTAATACATATCTGCAACTATAAGGGCTTTCAGCATCCAGTAATAATGTCCATCTGTTTATCCCCAAGCTACAAGCATATAAGAGCACATGGCTCTCTGCACAGATTTTTCTAAAACAATATGAACAGTAACATAGGACCAGAAATGAAATCCATCATGAAACATGTTCCCACATTATATCTCAATGAGGCATTTTCTACATCACAAACATCCAGTAGAGCTAGCCAATTTCTTGGATATTTTGGTATCCAACACACCTGCAACATTAGACTTTGACTCGATTATGATTTACTAGCTAGAAAAGGTGTGTGTGTGTGTAGGTGTGTGTGTAGATGAGGTAGCATTCCATCGATTATGCTTTATTAGTCTATTACATTCAATCATAAATAACATTGTGAATTTCTAATAAATTTTTATAAAGAGCTATTTTTAAGTCAATTAAAATTAAGTGAGGAAAAATAAAGGAACCAAACCAAGCCAGATACTTTTATCCATTCTTTCATTATAAACAAAGATGCCTTGGTATTATACATCCTTGTGCTAGTTGTTCCATTGTTGAGAGATGCAGGCCCACTTGACGGGGTTTGTTTAAAAAAAAAAATTGAGTATAAGCCCATCACTGATTAAATGCACATTTGGGAACATTTCGCCACTTGCGAGACCACAAAGACTCTCGCAAAGAAAGCTGCTCTAAATAGGGAGTGGTGGTTTCGCAAATACTAGAGGTCCCAGAGTTCATTGCAATACATCTCAAAGTACTCTGGGAACTGAAGTCCCTTATGGTCACAGCTACGAATGTATGTGCCGGGCCTTCGCTTTTCTTCCTCGGCGTTACCTACGGTCACCGTCAAGTTTTCAGGTGACTGATAGTGAATAAGCTGTACGTGAGTGGGGCGGGAGATGCTAGTCATTTGGGCACCGCTAAAGTGATTTTTTTCTCTTTCTCTGCGTGGGGTAGAAAGAGCGAGGAAAGCCACTGTTATTTATTACATCTGAGAAGAAAGCGGCTGAGGGAAAAGACAGCAGGAGCCTTTGCCTCTGCTGCAGCGGAAGAGGTCTGAAAAAGTAGGCTTCTGATGGCATACCTGGGGCAGGCCACCCTCCCTTTTTTATTGTGATAAGGACTGTGCTACTAGCTTTTTCTTCCCCTGCTGGGGCCAGCCGTCTCGAAGCCAACAGGTCTCTCTTTAGCCCTTTTGGCTCTGGCAGGAGGAGAGATGCATATCGTTCGTCTAGAATCGCCTCATGTTTTTAAGAAGGAAGGGCTCCCAAGTCTATTGCCCATTTCTGATTTATTTATTTATAGTTATATCCTGCCTTTTTCTTACGAAGAACTCAAAGCAGATTACATAATTCTCCTGCTTCCAATTTTATTAAAGGATTTTGTAGGTGTTTGTTTTATGTATGCTTACCCTTTCTCCAAGTTTATCCCATGGTGGGAGGGGAGAAATTACTCCAATTTATCCTCACAAAGAGCCTGTATGGTAGGTTAGGCTGATAATGGCTGGCCCCATGACATCCATTGGGTATCAAAACTAGATGGAGTTGTGATTGTGAACCAAGATTTACCTGGTTCAGCAAGAGCTTTAACAATTACAGTACACTTGCTTTGTAGGTTGTTTGTAGTCTCTGCAAAGAGCTGGTTTTAATTAGCTAAAGCAGAGATCTACAGAAAGTGTTAGGGAACTTCAACTTCCAGGAGATTCTGCTAGCATGACCAAAGGTCAGGGATGCTGGGAGTTGAAGTCCAAAACATCCAAACCTGAGCTAAAGAACTGTGAGTTTGGCTGTTCGATCCCTTCTTCATTGTCTTCTTTTTTAACACTATGCATAGCCCAATGATTTGAAATTGAGGCAACCTATTTAACCATACACAACCTGAACCAAACCCTAAACAAAAGAGGAATACTCGTGTGTAGGCTAACACATACAGGCACAAGAAGGGCAATGTAACTAGTCTGAATTGACAATGCAAAGTTGTAATATGTAGAAAGAATGTTGAAGAAATAATGCAGGCTGTTTCAAGCATATACTGTCCATGCTGTGGTATTCTGCATTGGTGCCATATAATTATGATTTGGTGTACCAGCAAGTAGGTTGAAAAGAACGTTCTGAATACATCTGGGGTATTCCTGCTTGAAGAAGTATTATTGCTGTCACTAGGAATTCATTGTGCAGTTGTTTCTGTATTATTATGTACAAGAGAGCTTTGGCTGGATCTCCCATAGCATGTTGTGAATGAGACAGTGCAATTGCACAGTGAAAAGCTCATCTGCTAGACCTGTGAATAGATTGATTTTGGCAATTCATATGTTTTAATTTATAAAAACACCTATATGGTCTAGTTTTATCATTGGTTACACTGGATTTTGTGCATCCATAAGGTTTAGGTAGAATATTTAGAAATGATAAATCAACCTTAAAATGAAAAGTATTATTCTGTAGCTGTTGCATTTTTCTAAAACTGGAACTGATTTTGATAACTAAGAAAGCAAACTTGACCATGGAAACATATTAGGTAAGGTTTTAAGGATAAATGAGAACTTTAGCCTTAAACTTGTACAAACTTAAATGAAGATTTGAATTATTTTCATTTGCTTTTTAAACAGGAGTTTCAGAGCAAGAAAAAGTAGCAATGCAGATCCAGTCTCCTGAATTTTTCATCTTCCTCCTGTTGCAATGATCAAATGCTTGGCTGAAGAGGTGCAAGCCGGTTTACGCTCTGGAGTGGCCATCAACTCAATAGGCCAATGTGTTGAGGAAATAATCCTTAACAGCATAGATGCCAAAGCAACATGTGTGGCTGTTAGAGTAGATTTGGAAACGTTTAAGGTCCAGGTAGTAGATAATGGCTGCGGGATAGGAAAAGAAGATCTCAACAAAGTAGGAAATAGGTACTTTACCAGTAAAATCTGCTCACTAGAAGACCTAGAAAATCTAAAGTTTTATGGCTTTCGTGGAGAAGCTTTGGCAAGTATTGCCAGCATGGCCAGTATACTGGAAATATCATCTAAGACAAATAAGATAGCAAAAACCTTCTTGAAACTATTCCACAATGGAAAAGGATTGGAAGTATCTGAAACAGAGTTGAATAGACCAAGTGTCGGAACGACAGTGACGGTGTACAACTTATTCTACCAGTTACCTGTGAGGAGAAAGAGCATGGATCCAATACTAGAGTTTGAGAGAGTGAGGCATAAAATAGAGGCTCTTTCACTTATCCAACCCTCTGTCTCCTTTTCTTTAAGGAATGATGCTTCCTGTTCAATGGTACTTCAGTTATCCAAGACAAAAGATATCTGCTCCCGCTTTTCTCAGATATATGGTCTAAGTAAATCACAGAAATTACGAGAAATAAATTATATGTCTGGAGGATTTGAAATAGATGGTTTTATCAGTTCTGAAGGTCATTACAATAAGAATATTCAGTTTTTGTATGTGAATAAGAGACTGATATTAAGAACAAGGTTGCATAAACTTATTGATTTTTTACTAAGAAAACAAAGTATTATATGTAAAACAAAAAGCAGGTCTTTGATTTCAAGTCTTACTCATCATCGTTCAAGCCAAGAGCTATATGGAGTCTTTATTATCAATGTGAAGTGTCAACACAATGAATATGATGTATGTCTAGAACCTGCAAAAACTCTAATAGAGTTTCGTAGCTGGGATGCTCTATTAACTTGCATAGAAGAAGGAGTAAAAACATTTTTAAAGCGAGAACAGCTATTTATTGAACTGTGTGGTGAAGAGATTAAAGAATTTAATGAAAACAACAACATTTGTTTGAGTGATGCAATAACTGTACAGCCATTTCTCTCTCAAGGGAAGGGAATGCAGGAGAGCTTTAAGAGAGCTTGTGATAATATTGCAGATACTTATGAAATGTTTAATCTGCAGTCAAAGTCTGTCAGAAGGAAAATCCCTCTTGCAAACAAGGTATCAGATCACACAGGACCTATTTACTATGAAGAGGGACTAGTTCATCCAGATGTTATTGGTACAGAAGTTGTTCATGAACTGACAAGCAATAATAAAGGGGAGCCCTACAAAAATGACACCATTCCTGATGTCCACAAATTGAGTAACTTATATCAAGAGTCAAAAGTATCCGTTAATCAGAATGTTCAAGTTTTGAATTGTACATGTCCAGAAGAACTTGATAAGCAGGACAGGTCAGTTGTTTTGGAAACAGAGAAGCATGCTGGTACTTCATTTTCTATGGAAAAATATGATAAAAGTTCAAGTAATTGTCAAGATAAAATGCTTCAGGAAGGTAGCTCCAACAGTGCTGCCATGGGACACTTCGAAACTGTCGATGATGCTGATAAGTTTAAATGTCAACTTCCTTTAGGGTGTGGCTCCATGGGAAAATATAAGGCAATGAAAGAGGGCAGAGAACATGACATAGGGTCAAAAAACATCCAAGAACTGGTAATGGAACAGGAACCATTGAAGTTGTGTTCCACTGGCCTCATAACACACTTGATGCAAAATCAGCCACCATGTAAAAGAAAAGAAATTAAAAATTCACAAAACAGACAACCTAGACTGGGTCCAGTAAGTGCCAAGAATATATTGGGGGGAAAGCCAACATTTTCAGGACTGAGTTCAAATATTCAAGAATGCTTGAGCATAACAAATGGAAAAATAAGCACAGCAAATCCAAATGAATGGACAGAGAAGGGAAATTTTCCAGGTCAAAAAAGTATATCTTCACTTCCTGCAGATGGTAATGTGGATGGTGTGACATCACATATAAAAGAATTTATTTCTGTGGCTCCATCAAGTTCTGTTCATCTAGACAGTACAATCAAGAGTAGGGAAATGGCTGCACTTTCACTTAGGCCTAGATTGTGTGGCATTAATAAATTGAGCTTGCATCCAAAGCTGGGCTCATTGGACAAATTCAGAAGATGCTATGGGAGCATAAAGAATGCACCACCAATAACTAATGTGGAAAAGAAGAATGAGGTTGAAGTGCCAGCCTTTGCCAGGTCTCCTGGTTATGAGAATATGGCTCTTCAAAACTCCAGTATTTGTGAAACACCAACTAATGAGTCTGTTGTGTCTAACAACAGTGGTTATGATTTCCTTCCCTTAGAAAAGTCTCAAAACTTTACAGAAGAAAGTCTACTAAGCAGAAAAGTTTTAAATGTAGATCCTCTGACACTGACAGATAATTCTCAGATCAGAAAGAAATCCTTTTCTGGTACTAAATTCACAGGAACACTTGCCTCTAAAGTATCTAGAATGAAGGGAAGCTTTAGAAAAGTTTTAAGTATGGAATCTACAGGCAAACTTTTAGAACAAGCTTGCTTAAGTCAAAAAGACAAAGACAGATGGAATCTCTTACCCCCAAGGGATTGTTTGCAGAGTATCTGCCATACAACTCAACTTTCCCCAAGAGAAGTAGGGACAGAGAATCACTGTTTTGCCTCAGTCTCTGATAAGCAGGATAATTCCATGGTAGTCTCTAGCACAAGGGTAGAGGATGTGGGAGATGCTGTCAAGCACTGTTTCATTGACACTGGTGAAGACAATAGTACCTCTCAAAATATAAATATGACTGATAAAGCCATGGATTCTAAAGGCATTTGTGAAGATACAGGGATTATGGATGGATCTACAAAGCAAGCCATGAAAGCCTGTGAACTTCCCAGTATGAACTTGTCCAGTAACATGGAAGATGCTACTGATGATTCAAGTACAATTCAGATTGAGGAATCACAGCCACATTCTTCTAAATGGTTTCATCAGTTTGATGCCTCTTTAGGAAAAATAGTATACATCAACAAAGTGACCGGACTGAGCACTTACAGTGCTCCCAGTGAGGAACCTCAGGCTATATGTACTAAAGATATAAGCACAATGGCTGTAAATGTTATAGAGAATGGTAAGTACACATGTAACTTTGTGCTTCATCAGCCATATAGCATTGTTGTGAGAATAAAGAAATCAGAATTAAATCAGTCATTCATAGAAACATTAGCATTCATAACAATGGTCTCCATATGAAGATATAAAAATTAAATGAATTTGTAGAATTCAAGTGTATTGGGTGTCCTATATTTCTGTTGTAGTCATTTATTAGTACTTTTGGATATTCTTTTCTCTTGTTTCATAATTAAAGCAATCATCTTTCAGCAAATTGATGAGTTATCCCTGTTGCAATAATGTTAAATCCCAAAATATTATAATTGCTTCAGAAAGCATCCAGTTAGAAATGTAGTTAAAGGATGTTCTGTTTAAAGTAGGTATGTTTAGATTAAGCCATAAAGGGAACATAGTAATTCTCAATTATCAGAAATTATTGGAGTAATGGAGATCTAATGCATTGTTTCTCAAACTTGTTCCACCAGTCCCTCTTCTCAATTTACACTACCTTCTCAGTTACTTTACCCACTGACAACCATTCCATTGGTAGGCAAGTACATAACATCTTCACATAGAAGATGTATGTGTGCAGCCTATGTGAAAGGATCTATGGTACATTATGCTCAGGCATTAGAAGAGATCTAGAACTGGGCTTTTGTCCCTGCTAAAAGCAATCAGCCATGAAAGGAGGCTGGAGTGAAGAGAACTGTTATTGTAATAAAATCCTACATACTCCCTGCCTGAAGCACTTTTCTGCACTTTCTAACTTTGGCTGTTGAGAGGAAAGTATCTCCAGCTTTTCTGCCTCTCTGGAATATTTGCTTCCCATTGGGTATTTTTTTGCTCTCCCTGCCTCCCCCCTCCCCTCAGCTGTTCCACAATTTAAGAACTATTGTATATGTATGGTTAATGTTCAGGTCTCTTTGGTAGTTTTATATAACTTTTGGTACTTTTTATACTTTTATATTTCTCTGTTTAAAGGTACCAAACAAGTTGTGATTCTGTTCTATTCTTTTATGGTGCTAATCATCCTTTGTTCCTGGACAAAGTCCCTTGTTTGTAAAAATGTCTACAGAAGTAATTATTTTGTTGGGCATTTAGGGTTTCAGTGCAGATGCTACCCTTTTAGAAGTGAGTTTATTGTTCCCTTCCTTCCAAGACCTCAGAAAGAAAGGAGTTTGACAAGCCAAGGATTTAGAGGTAGGCCCACTTTGCCAGGACATAGAGTACTATGTTAAATAATAACAAACCAAAGAATTCTGCCAGCTGTCCAACAGGAACTTGGAGTGATCCAAGGTCTGTTAACAATTTGGACTTGTATGAATCATTTCATGTGTGGAATCGGAAATAACTCTTTCAGGGTAAAAATTAATTATAGTGTGACTGGTTACTATGAAGTGCCCAGTTCTATGTAAAACAACATTGCTTAAAGAGGAATTACTTAATGCCTCATTCTAGTGGCACCTGATTTCATTTTTTAGATCTCTGTCAACTGAGAGTGGGTGAATTATTGTTCTGGCATTTGCTTTTCTAATGGGAAAAATGAGCAGCTGATTTCAAGTCCTCCTCTTTAGTATTTCAAGAAATGATGGTTTTGTACTAAAATGCATGCCAGAGAAAGATTCAGATTTTGACAATCTCCTCAGTAACCATAAAGCTGCTTAAATACAGGATTGGGAAATTGATGGGCAATTAATTAAAGATTACTGTGTTTCTTCCTTTATGAGTACTAACAAGTTAAATTCTAATACTACATTTAATACAAGGGAGTGTCTGTGTATATTTTCCTATTTGGAGTTTATCTTCACATGGAGTTTGAAGGCTGTACATATGTTCTTTTCTAGATACTCAAGGAGAATCTCTCCAGTCCTTGTTTTCAGAGTGGGACAATCCTGTGTTTGCTCGCTGTCCAGAGGTGCGTGGCATTATGTAGCCACTATTTGCTGTGAATTGTTTCAGGTTTATGTTACTCTGTGATTTCTGGACTGAGATAGGACAAAAAATTGTATAAACTTAGTGTATTGTACATGTCCAGAGATCTGTCATCAGTTCCCCCTTTTACTGATTGAGTCTTCAAGCTTTTTTTCTGTTGTATACTGCAATTTAGAAGTGGGTGGGATTTTTGCTCTTATTTTCCCAAAGGTTATCCTGTTTTATTTGGAAAGTAAAATGCTTTCATAGGCCCCATTTATATTATCAAAACAATAATCTTGACTAAGGATAGAACATTCTCCCTAAAATGGTTTGTAGGACAGTTTTCAATTCTTGCTGGCAGTTTTATAGTATGATAATCACATGGCCATGTGATTATTTCCATAGAGCTAAAAGAACTCTGGTATCAGTTGCCCATTGTATTTACTGTACGTTTTAATTAAGTTCCTTTACTCCTGTGGGATCCTTTAGTCTCTATTGTAAGCATATTTATTTTCAAGTATGCCCAACTGAGCTCCAAGTATTCTGCTTCCAAGTAATATCGAAGAGCTTCCTGTGTTTGTAAGTATACAACATTCTGGGGGCCAGTCCACTGTGGTGGTTAGTGTTGGACTTGGGATCCAGGAAATCTCATTTCTTCCTCTTCACCATGAAGTTCATTGGGTGACTTTGGGCCAGTCAGAGACCCTTGGCCCATCCTATCTCCCAGGGTTGTTGTGAGGATAAAATGGTGCTATCTAGACTGCTTTAAATTCCTCACAAGAAGAAAAAAAGGTAGGATATAAATGCAGTGTAATAACAATAACATGCCCATTAAGATGTGTGTGCATATTTTATTTGACCATATAGTCAAGCCAATATAGCAAGTATTGTTCTGATGCCTTTACAAACAGCTATGAGAATAAACCCACAAAACCTCAGGAATAGCTTCCTTTACTTTCAGTAGATTAAAACTTAATGCTTTTGATTTAACAATTATATTCAGCTTCCCACACAGATTCATGTGTCCATGTCCAATTTATCTGAATTGGATTTTAAGCTCCATCCTGAAAATATTTTATTTTAAAAATTATGATTCTGTGATCTGACACTTGTTATCTACTATTAAGTTATTTGTGATTATTTGTTTTCTAGGTTGCTGTTGATGTGAGCAGTAGACAAGCTGATAGTCTCGCTGTGAAAATCCATAACATTCTGTATCCTTATCGGTTCACTAAGAAGATGATTGAGTCAATGCAGGTAAACTTCCTGGCATTTGCATATATGACAGTTCTGCAGCTATCACTTGAAAAATAAGATCTGTCTGTTTCTGGCTGGAAACATATGGAAAGTAAAATAATTAAAAATTGTTTTAGCTGCTAATTTTTTAATGTATGTGAGCAACTTGTTGGAAGTTCTAGTGAAATCTTAAGTATTTTTACTGAATGATTATACATTTACTATAGAGTAGTAGATTTTTAGAAATAACTTGTCATCCCCTGAATGTGTTTCAGGTCCTTAATCAAGTGGACAATAAATTTATTGCTTGTTTAATCAACACTAGGGCAGATGAAAAAGAAGAGACAGGTAAGAATACTCTCTTCTCTGACATAAGGTTTTTAACTTTTTGTAAAACTTCCCTACAATAATGCAACTTCTGCCATGTTGGATCAAATTAATGGTCCATCTAACCTAGTATCCTTGTTTCTCAGCCGTTTTATTCCATACCAGTTGTATGCATATGCTAACATGCACAGAAACAGCTCAACCTAGGCTGAAGCTGCTGGAAGACTTTCCTCTAGGTTAACAGATGTTGAAAAATTATATACATAGGCTGGCACAAAACAACAACAAAAAGATTACTTAACTCAAACCAATACAAATATAAGTGAGTTAAGATAGTTCATGAGATATAGTCATTTCATGATTATAAAAAACAGAATAATGCTGTCCTACGTACATAGGAACATGTGCGAGTGTACAAAGCCAATTTATAGTGAATAAGAAAACTTTGAGCTATCTCAAACTGAGGTCTTTCCCAGACCCACCTGGAAGTGACAAGATTCACACCTGTATGCAAAGTATGTGCTTTGCAACTAAGCTAGGGTCTTCGTGGTATCCAGGGGCACTGGTTCAGTGTATGGATGTAATGAGATGGTGTTAAGTCAGATTATGAGAGTTAGAATTCAGCTGATAATATTGTTGCATGTATTTCAACCATGAGTAGGCTGTTTCCCTAAAATCAAATAATATGCCTCTAAACCAGTTGGAACAGGTTTCTTTGAACTATTCAGCTGAAGAGGCCTAGTGTAATTAGCAGATGATGTGTTGAACTGGGGTATCTCAGCTTCAGCTCTCCACTAATTCAAAAAGTTTCCTGGTAAGCTTGGCTCCATTGTCATCTTTGCCAAGGTGAGGATAAAGTGAGATCAAATTCATGCTATATGCTGGAATTACCATGTCCTTTTAATATATTTCTAGATGGAAACCTTCTTGTGTTGGTGGATCAGCATGCAGCTCATGAGCGTGTCCGCCTTGAGCAACTCATCAAAGGTATAGTTCAGATGGTAAAATAAAGTAGCTTACAGGCTGATAAATTAACCCAAGAGATATACAAACTGGATCAAATCTGATGTATAGATAAATTTAATTGTAGAGAATGAAAGCATGGTGTTTGAATGATTGCTCAATGAGCATCAGCATTCTCAATAATAGTGAAACTGTGAGTTTCTTGTGGGTTTTTTTTGTCCCATATTTTTAGTAGAATGTGAATTGCTTCCACTGTGTCTAGCAAAGGATGTGGCTTTTTCAGACTTTAGGAGATTCTGGCCACTACTCTAAAACACAGCAGCAGTTCATTGTGCTTATAACAGTTCATTGACCTCCTCATCAACAAGAGCTATGAATTTTCTACAGGGAAGAGTCCAAGAGCAACTTTTCTGGTTGTAGTCTGGCAGAGAAAATTGCTCAAGAATGTGAAAAGCTTTCTGGAGTTGTGAGAAGTGTTTGTTGAAGGGTTTAAATGGAGTCACTATACTTGTAACAGTTTGCTGTTTTATGGGATGGTCATTTGTTGATAAAAATGTTACAGTATTTTTTTGCTAATTAGGATAACCATGGTTGATATTGGCTAGGAATCCTGATGTGTCATTAACAATGATATTGAAAAGGATATAATATTTCTACCTTAATGTTTTTATTTCTCATCAGCTGTGGGAGAAAATAATGTAACTTCTTACAGAAATGCATGCTATTTTCTAACTGTAGAGCCCTATAGCTAGATAATAAAGGCAGTTGCTATATGTAAGTTAAAGAGCAATACATTTGTTGTTTTACCATCAGATTCCTATGAGAAGCAGCCTGAAGCCTTAGGCAAGAAAAAACTGTTGGCCTCCACTGTGTGTCCTGCATTGGAGATTGAGATAACAGAGGATCAGAGGAGACTTTTAGGGTGGGTAATAGCCAACTATCAAATATACAGGCTTTGTCTTCAGAGAATGAGGGCACTTTTAGATGAGACTTTTCTTATGCAATTGCTGTGCTTCATTAATAAAATGCCACACTGTTCATCTGAAAGTACTTTGCATTCGGATTATTACTATTACATTGCATTTATATTCCACCTTTTTTCCTCTTGGGAGAACCCAGAGAAGCTTATATAAATCAATTTTATCTTCATAACAACAGCCATGTGAGGTAGGTTGGGTTGAGAGTGAGTAACTGGCCCAAAGTCACCCAGTGAACTTCATGGCCAAGGGGGACTAGATTTCAGATTTCTCAGGTCCCTAGTTCCAACTATTAGCTCTGTTATGTTAGTTATTCCTATTCTGCGATAGGCAGATCATGCAAAATACATTAGTTGTGTGAAAAAGAGAGACTAATAGTGCAGTCCTATGCATGTAAACAGAAAAAAGGCCTACAATTCCCAGCATGAGGCTGGGGCATGCAAGGAGTTACAGGCTTTTTTCTGTCTTAACATGCATCGTATTGTATCTTAAGGGTATAATCCTAAATGTATTTATCTGGCAGCATAATAGGACTGATTTCTGAATAGACATTTATAGAATTGCACTACCAGAACACAATTCAATGCCCATTTACTTGGAAATAAGCACTATTGAACAAAATGAGACTTATTTCTCAGTCCTTTGGTAGAAGAGGGCTAGAGCATTCATCTTTGCAAAGCATGTGATATGTTAGCCTGCAGAAAATAAAATTAAAGGTCCAGGGGTAATGGTCAGAGCAGGAGTGCACAACATGTGGACTTGCTCCCTCACCACCGCCCTTGCACCCTGAACGAAATGAGAAATATTTTTAATTAAAAAAATTGTCTGGAGCATTAAGGAGCACCTACAAGCTTGCTCCCAAGCTATATTTGACCCTTTTAGAGCTCCATTGCATGTGTATGTGTGTGTACAAACCCCCAACAATTAGTATGTGTGCACACATGTGGTGTCCACATGCACACAGCATTTGTTGGGGGTTATCTGGCAGATTGTGAACTGTAGCCAAATTGGAGAGTCTGAAAATGAGCTTTGGATCTCCTGTAGCTGGTGATCTCGGTTTTAAATGGAGAAGAACAAGAAGAATAATTATTCACTGTATCTACCCAAGATAGGACAAAACCCAGTACAAACCAATTTACAGGCAGGTAGATGCAAGTTAAAGGAGTTGGGGAAAATGTCTTAAATAAAAGAACAATATTTCAGTTGAAAAAATAATGCAGGGAAAAGGGAGAATTGTGCTCTTTGAAGATTCCAAGAAAAGGTTGAGCAGGCACGTGTGTTTCTATTTTTCTACACTTCAGCCATAAGAATTCCTCATAACTCCGAAATACTAAGACAATGTTTGGTCAGAATTTGTTTGCGCTCTGATGTAGGAATTATGGAGGAATTATGCACGTATTTCACAGTTGAATTATAAAGATCAACGTATTTGTGTTCCTGTTTTACAGAATATTGTATACCACCTTCAAAGCTCCCTCCATGTATCTTACTACAGTTGTGACAGACCAATCCTATAACTGCTAGACAGTGTCTAGATGGCCATAGAATTTCTCAGAACCCCAGCTACACAATTGAAAAAACATTTTTACCTTAGGGTTCAAACCTCTGCTCCTTCCCTTTGCAGCCAATGTAGAATGGACCACACCAGCTACAGGCCCCAGGGAGGAAGCTGTTTAGTGATTCTGCCCTGCTTCCTTCTGAGGCTTGTTCTGCTTGCTTCTGACTAGGCACACAGTTCATGTTTGCTTATAAGCAGACATGTAGAGGCTTGGTATTTGGATGCTATTTGAAAATGCTGCTGACTGATTCAGTCCTGCTTACTTTGAAGTAGACATGCAGAGCGTTGTCCTACTTCTGAATAATCTTAACATCAGTAATAATCTTTCATTGGCACTGCCAACAGATGGAATGCAGCCCCTGAGATCTTTCTTAAATTGGGATTTGACCCCTTATCTAATAGGAGTTCCTGATGTGTCTGTAAAGAGAACAACTTAACAAATGATTGTGAAGATCCTTCACAAAATTCCTTTTTTTGAGAAAGTGTAATAATCGCAACTAGGGGATTTGAACACTTTGGAAAATGGGACTCTCTGTGCCTGCTTGCGTTTCCATTTTCAGCTGAAATTTTAATTTTCAGGTGCTACCACAAAAGCCTGGAGGACTTAGGCCTTGAGTTATTCTTTCCAAAGAACAATTCTTCTCAGATTCTTGTTGGAAAGGTGCCATTGTGTTTTGTGGAAAGAGAAGCAAATGAATTGCGTCGTGGAAGACAGACAGTAGCTAAGAGCATTGTGCAGGTGAGATGTGTGTACAGGTAGTTTATTGTATCTGCCCGAAATCAGAGAAGAAGCAGCTTGGAGGACCGCATTACACTTTTGTTTGCTCCCTGCTCAGCATTCAGGGAAGTTGGAGATACCAGAAATCTTATAAACAGAGATGCCATATAATGTGGAAAGCTCTGTATGCACCTCATGTTAGGCGACTTTTAAAAAGTTAAGGTAGAGTTAAAGTAAAACAGTTACACTTCTGAATGCAACAACATAATATCCTTGCACCCACAGTAAAAAAGGCTATTATATAACTAAAAAAAGGTTGAGCATGACACAAGACTTGCACTGTGGTATCATGAGTAGACTTACTGAGCTCCAACATACAATATATGATAATAATTGCCCCCTTGGTTCTACCTAGAAAGGACAAAGATCCTCAATTTTGCTGCAACTGTAAATGTAACATATTTCCAACCAAATACATCTCTAGATATACAAGAAACCTTGTGATTCTGAGAATTCAGTGTTTGACAATAATTTGCCCTGGAATAATTCCTTTTGCATTTAACAGATCAGTGTGAGAAACAGGAATTATCCATAACTCTCTCTTGTCTGGATTCTGATCAAAGACTCAATTCTTCTGTCAACACCTATGAGAAAGTAGAATCTCCATAGACAGACTACATTTCCTGGCCAGCTTTTGGCAGTGCTGCACCCATTCTCCGAACCTCAGTTGTTCAAGCCAGCACTGCTTGGCAAGATCTGCATCCTACATTTCTTTCAAGTCCAGCCAGTATCTAAAATAAAGCAGACTGATCCTGGCAACAATAGATGGCAGACCTAATTCTGCCTTAAGAAGGGTGGCTGGCATGCTGGAAGTCCAAGAATGTTTCTCATGAACTTATTTTGGAGAATCTCTAAAAATTACTTCAGCCTAGATTTCAGCCTCATACAACATGTGGGTTATGACCATAGCTGAAAAAATACCAAAAACAGGTTTAAATAATCGGCCAGATGAGAAGAAGCTTTGCGGAGAAGTAATGGTTTTACTGTTTGTCAGTTTCGTGCCAGCTAAATGAGTTTTTGGACATAAGGTCTGAATTAAAATACAGCTCTGGATATTTTAAATAGCCAACCTCTTCCAAAAAATGTCCACCTAAGGCTCTTTTGATACTCTGAAACCTTCCCCTAAATACCATGACTTTAAATGTAGAATAATTAACTGTCTTTTCCTCTCTACATATAGATCCAAAGCTAGCCAACATTCTCCTAAGACGTATTCTATTAAGAGCAAAACATGCCTAAAATAAAAACACAACTTTACAATTTTTCACCAAAGCCAGAAAAATGCAAGAAGAATACTTCATAGTAATGATGTAATTGACATAAAAATTAAAAAGGGAGGGGACTACAGTACAGTATCTTTGTATCTCCTCTGTTAATTTGAATTGATTCTGTCAGAGCTCAATACAAACCAAATCTTGCTGTAATCATATTATCTTAATATAACAACCAGATCAGCCATAACCATCTATATTAATATTAGTTGCAGCTAATTTGTGTCATAACTGATACCTATCTAGGGCTGCCTACCTCAACTTTTTGCCTTCCAGACATGTTTGGACCACAAAACTATTCCCAGTCAATGGGCATTGACTGGCAGACAATTTCCAGTCAATGGCCCTACTAGATGGGAATTTTGGGAGCTGCAGTTCAAATGCCTCTGAAGACCACCAGGTTGGGGAAGGCTGATCCAGGGGATCAAAAGAAAATGTAAAATATATAAAGAAGATCCACCTACATAAAGTTTTGGTGTACTTTGATATAATATGGTTTAAAACAAAATCTGATAAATTGTATCCTTGCCTTTCCTAATGCTAGCCTGCTCTTCGTATATAATGGTGGTATAATTTTCCCAAGTTTGTAATTTTTACAATAGATGCCAAATTTATATTTTGAAAACCACACCTAGCAGGCTAAAATCACTTTGGGTCTGAAGTGTCTCCTTTATTAAAAATAGGATCTATTATTACAAAGATGTGGCACTGGATGTATTATAGAAGTAAACAGCTAGCTAATCAGCTAGCTGCATCCAAAGCAAACATCCAAGGGGATCATATGTTCACCAGGAGTCTTGCCCAGTATCAACACTTAATAAGATCCTGCTATTGAAAGCATTTTGATTGACTTTTATCTTTTTCTACTTTTTAGGAATTTATTCATGAGCAAGTTGAGGTATGGCCTTTTGTAGTGGCTTTGTGTATGTGTGTGCACATGAAGAAATGTGAATTACAGATGATTCACACCTTTCTGCATGTTTTAGACTCTTGAGATTTGAGCAAACTTGGTAGCTAGAACAGGCAAAGGAAAATGGAAAGGTCCTTAGAACTGGCTTACCCAGTTCTGCCCACTGACAGACCATAGGAGCACAAGAAGATACCTTATACTAAGTCAGACCATTAGTTCATGGCCAGTACTGTCAAGGGTGATTGGCAATGGCTCTCTAGAATTTCAGGCAGGGTTCTTTCTTAAGTCTCTTACTCAAAGTTGCTGGGGTTTGAACCTGGGCCCTTTAGCTTACAAAGCATATGTTTTAAGAGTGGAGCTACAGCTTCTCCCCATTCCCTACTTCAAGATTCTAAAAGAACAGTCCCAGAGCATGGTAAGCACCCTAAATGAGTGCAAAGAACAGTTCCTAGAAGGGAGAAGATATAATCATCATAAGATAAAACCCTAATGGTTTTAATAGCTATTGGGCATTTCATGCTGGGTGGAGTATCTGTCTATATAAGCTGTTTTAGAACTAGAGAGTCCTAAAAACTCTCCACTTCTAAAGCTAGGTACATTGCACCCTATTTTGTTTTGTACAGGCTTCTAAAACAAGGATTTGAATTTACACAGTGCATGACTCCAGATCAATGGTTCTAATAGTTCTTCACTAATTGCTGTGACTTTTCATTTTTAATCTTCTTTAGAAATTCAGATATTGTCCTTCTGCTGCTTTCAGTTACTGCAGACAACGGGAGGGGCACAAACTGCATTGCCCCTAACAGTTCTGAAGGTGCTGGCTTCCCAGGCTTGCCATGGTAAGGAAAATATTACCTTGTGCCACCTTATTATGCCACAGCCAATTTTCTAGCACTTTGGGAAGACAGGAGTAATTTGATTAAAAGCAGGGATTTATTTTATTTTATTATATTTATATCCTGCCTAATATTTTTCCTTACAAGGAACTAAAGGTGCCTTACATAATTTACCTCCTCTCAATCAACAGTAACAACATGCCTATGAGGTGGGTTGGACTGAGAGTCTGTAACTGGCCTAAAGTCATCCAGTTAGTTCCATGGCTGAGTGGGGACTAGAACCCAGATCTCTTGAGGCCCAGTTCTGCACTCTATGTTAATTAGGTTGAATGAGTTCAAATCTCCAAGGCCTGATGAACTCCATCCTAGTGTCATGAAGGAGCTGGTGGAAGAACACTCAGAACCGCCATCTATTATCTTTGAGAAAACATGGAGGACTGAGGAAGGGTTAATGCTGTCCCCATGTTCAAGAAAGGAAAAAAAGAACCACCTGGGAACTGCAGACCAGCCAGTCTGAAGTCAATTCCTGGGAAAATTCTAGAGCAGTTCATAAAACAGTTGGTCTGTAAATACCTTAAAAACAATGCAGTTATTACTAGACGCCAACAAGGATTTGTCAAGAACAAATTTTGCCAGACTAATCCCTCTCTCTCATCATATACCATACCATACTATACCATATATCATATCATCACCACATTGGATCCATCGTATTTATTATTGAGAAGCCAGGATATAAGTTAGTACATTTTTATTGTTTTGGGTATGTGTAATACTTTCTGAAGGTAGCTCTGAACTAGGGTAGAAACAGAATGAACATTATCTTTACATCCTGTTTGTGAGTCCCTAATCATAATTTATTGGCCAATAGAGTGCTGGATTAGATTGGGTTTGTCTGATCCAGCAAGACAATTGTTGTTTTACAAGTAAAGTGTGTATACCACAGCACATCTGTGCCATTTTAGTGGTTCTGTGTTGGAAAGAGGAACGGTTTTGAGGACTTGAACATTCATTTGTAACCAACTGACACCAGTGGCAGAAAGTGGTGTATACATTGGATGGGTTCACATGTCATGAGAAGCCATAGTGATTTCCTATGTTAGTTTTTCATGTCATTTGGGCCCATTCATGGTGTTTCTGATAGTACCTTTAGTTTCCCAATATAACAGAGAGAATTGATGCTTTCTTCTGAGGTTTCCATGTTTCACTATGGTTTTTCCAGTCATCCTGAGCCAGGATCTCCATTTTACCATTGTTGGAGCCCTGTGGAAGGAGTAGTCATGGAAGTGGCCATTCAGCCATCCTTTCTATACTTACCCTCAGCTACCTAGGAACACATGTGTCATGGCCTGCTTTATTCCTATTGGCTGAACAATGTACCCATCTTCCTGTTTACTTTCAGAAACAGGTAGAAAGCAGGTAACACCTGGAGGAAGAAGGGAAGAATTTGGCAAATGTGTTCATTATTAATAAAATTTTCTTTTGGAGCTGGAATGGCTAGGAAACATTGCAGCCATGCAGGTACACTCAGGTGGAGACCAGGGAAGAATGCACTTCCATACCTCTGCAGACCAATCAGGATGAAACTGCTGAGGTCTATAGGGAGCAATTATGTAAAGAAGGAGATTTCATTCACAGAGGCTGCTGGGATGCATGGCAAAAATGGAAGGACAGAACAGGGAGTGTGGAAATTATTGCCATGGGAACTATGCGGTAGTCTGACCAGTATGTTCTGCCAAAAATCCATGCTTATGGTTGTTTGCTGTTATTTGTGAACTTAGCCATTTTCTTCTTGGACCATGATCAAAATTCCCAGGTGTTTCCAGACTGAGGGTTCCTAGTCCTACTAATTGGAAGGCATCGTGCAGATATTCCATCTTTTTTCTATAATGGATTTGCAGTGGTAAAGAAAAAGGAAGAAGGTGGTGTGGGAGAAAAAATCAGCAACATCTAGACCTCCCCAGAAAAGTTCATGAATGAAGCAGGGTGCCATAAAAGCCTTGTCTGGAAGTATCATATGATTGATTTCAAAAAGAAAATGTATATAATGAGTTATCAATTATAACCATACAAGCAGTTCTTTTCCTGCCCTTCATTAGGACTTTCTTGGCATAGACAAAAAAACAAATACAGCATTTTGGTTTGCATGCAGCTTAGATAAAAGTACAGCTTTATATTTAGGGACAAAAAAGTTACAAATACAGGATTGAGGAGATGTAGTTTAGAAGCAGTACATGTGAAAAGGATGTAGATGAGGATGTAGTGGACCTCAGACTGGATATGAGCCAACAGCTAAGAATGCTAATACATTAGGGTTGCATTAAGAAGAAGCATAATCATGGGAAGCAGTACCACTCTGTTCTAAGTAAATCAGGCTGTAATTGGAGAAAGGCATTAACAAGTTCGAGTATGTCCAGAAAAGTGCAACCGGGATGTTAGGGGTCTGGAAACCAAGTCCTCTGAGAAATAGTTGAAAGAGCAGGGTATGATTAACCTGGTAAAGAGAAGTTTAAAGGGAGACAAGGTACCAGTCTTAAATATCTGAAAAGCTGCCATGCAGAAGATGGAGTAGTCTTGGTCTCCCTTGCTCCAGAGGTAGAAATCACAGAGGAACAGATTTCAGCTAAACTTTAAGAGAAACATTCTGAGTGACTGTTAGGAAAACAGTGACATCTATCTTGGGAGGTGATGTATTCTCTTTCACCAGAGGTATTTAAGCAGTTTGGATGGCCATCTATCAAGAAATGCTGTAGCTTTACCCTACAGTGCAGATGATCTCTGAGGTATTTTCCAACTCTATGACTGCTTCCTTTTAATAATTGTTGGACATATAGATCAGAACAGGAAAACAAAATCATAGATCCTTTGATATTTTGGGAGATCTACATTAACCAAGTACTAGTGAAGATGTTTCAGTTTTCTGAAGACATTTGTACTGCACTTGTTACTACTTCAGCGGGCTCCAGAGCCATCCCACTTCCCAAGTTTATTTCTGTGACATGCACAAGCTGAAAAAGATATGTGCTTTCTTTAACTGGTACTATGGGTATACAGTGTAAGGTTGTAGTATGTAGCCCTATCTTCCCCACTGTAATGCCCTCCAGATGTCTTGGTTGGCAACTCCCATAATCATCAGCAATAATAAAGTTGTTCCTTTAGTATCTAGCTTGTGTGGATCTACCATGCTGACTGAGCATTGTAGGAGTTGCAGTCAAACACATCTGGAGGGTACCAGATTGGGGAAGCTGATGTAGCTAAAATGTGGGGAATTATTCAGTGTGAGACTGAGTATTCAGATAAAGCTATCAAAGTGTGATCTCTTTCTTTCTCCTTCTGTGAGAAAGAATGGATCTTCCTTGCATGTTATTTTGACTTTTATTTTTGAAAAGGTACATTTTACCTGCTGTTCTACCTCTGTTGTGTATTATCTGGGTGGGAGACTTGAGTCCTGCAATGAGTAGGGGATTGGACCTGATGGCCTTCTAGGCCCCTTGGAACTGTATTTTATGATCTGTTATTATTTATTCATTTAGAGCATTTTTATGCCGCCTCCTTTGCAAAAAGCCCCTTTGCAATAATCCATAAAAGTTATGGATTATTTCTATTGTATTTGATTGTTGCTGTTTTCAATGTGTAATAGTTTTCTTTTAGATGTACAAGAAGTTGTGTGCTGTTGCTGTCCTAGTAGATAGAGATGAACACAGTGACTTGTGTTAACGGGTGTCTCTCCCTTAAGGTAGGAAAGTGACCTTACCCTCTTAAAGAGTTACCACACACCTCTCTTTTTAGGTGCTATTAAGTTCAATGACAGCTTGACATTGGAGGAGAGTTGCCATCTTATGGAAGCTTTATCATGTTGCCAATTACCCTTCCAGTGTGCTCATGGAAGACCCTCCATGCTGCCTCTTGCCGATGTAGATCACTTGCAGCAGGAAAGTCAGGTATGCTGTAGAGCCGATAATACTACATAGGATGGTTCAACTGCATGTATCTATTTTACACAGATATACAGGGCCTTAGCTACTTCAGCTTTTCTCTTCTAGTAAGAGGGCCAGTTAATGTTAAATGAGGGATTCTGTTGTCCCTTTCAATTGCATCCTGTCTGCTTTTAAAAGGTCTCATGTACTGAAGGAACATCTTACCTTGGGGATCGTCATGTTGTTCATACCTAACATGTTTGTGATCACATGATGGAAAAATAAATCCTTTGTGTTGGTTTTCCTATAGTATAGGAGCTAATAGGGCTTCTATACTATAGAAGTCTCAAGATTACACTCATGAGAGTTGGTATTGTTCCAGTTATTTGAATAGGACCTAGGCATCCTGGATTAGCATTTTAATCCAGTTCTTAAAATTAAGAATAACACCCATATTGTTGCCTGATTGCATCCACTTCATTAATGGAAGAAATAGCTGGTTGAGCATTCCAAGGATACTCCTATTTTATCTCATCTTTCTTCCAAAAGCACACAAGTAGAGTCTAAGGAAAATTGTCATAGATGAGATGAATGATGCTTAAGCATTTTTTTACTATTATACTGTCATGGGCAAACTGATCTCAGTTTATCATGAGTAAAATGTGACTATAGCAGCATTAATACACTGTTTTGAGTGCAAAACCAGCTAAAAACCATAAAGCAGTTTTAAAAATAAGCATCCTTGGAATTCTTGCTATTTTTTCTAGTAGTGAAGCAGATGTAGTTCAAGCAACAATGTGGATGTTACCCTTTATTTAATGAGTCATAGCATTTGCAGAATTCCAACATAGTATTATGGCAATTTGAATGGAGAGCAAAGGAAGCATAAAAATAATTGGGTCTAACTGAGAATCAGTTCTTCTATTAGTATTTATTCTGTACCACCCAGTAGCCAAAGCTCTTTGTTGTTGTAGAGCTCTCTGTTGTTATTAATTGTAATCTACAATCAGTTGTGGTAGATTAATAAATTCTATATAAATTTTAGTCTTTTCCAAAATAAGACTTCTCTTCTTGAATAATTCCTGTAATAAATGTGTGACTAACTGAAAATGAATATCCATATGGATTTGTGAACAGAATCTAGTACACTACTCACAGATCTCTGTGAATACCTCTGTGGGGGCAAAATAGCCTTTCAATCCTCTTGTTATTTTTCTCATTCTAATTGTCAGCTCTTTCCTATAATGGGCATTAGGCACGTTGATGTTGCTAGCTAACAATAAGAATGACCCTTCTCACACAGCACCATTAACAGTGGCTGGGCTAACACAACATGACAAGTAACTCTGCATGGTTACCAGGATTTGCAGGAATTTTTTTTACTACCATCTACCTGATATATGAACAAGCATTTTCTACATTGTCATGGTTTCCATTCTCCCCATTCAGTCCTCCTGCTGTTGGTACGTATTCCATCAGCCACTACACCTGAAATTCAGTCCCAAAGTGCATTGCTCCCTGCCTGCATCACCTGCCTTTTCCTCACTGGTCCACACTTAGAGGCTGTCTGTCTGGGGCAGCTATTGGGGTTGCTGCTCTTTCCAGGGCACTCTGTGGTAGTTTATACCAAGACCATGAAAACCATGATCCTGGGTAAAACAAGCTATAATAGTATGCAGAAACCACTGTTGTTTCTTATCATGGTTTTTAAAGACCAAATTTACCAACTATGATGAAATAGCGCATCTGGGTTTAAATAACACAGTAGAACAACAATGGTAAAAAAACCCACCAGAGTTTGTGTTGTCTGAACCCTGCCTGTGTCTTAAGCATGTACTTACATTGCAAACTACTTTTGAAATAGTTGAAAAAGCTGTTCAATACAGATAATACCTGGAGAAAGTTGCATGGATGTCATGTTTCTTTTGGAATATTATGGCATGATGAGTGATATGCTGCCCCTCCCTCTTCATATTTGAGCCATTATGTAATTTTTGCTTTAATTGCTAGGGGTGGGTCTTAACACAGTACATGTAGGAAGTGCCTCATTTTCTTTAGGTACAATATAGTATAACCTGCCCAGAGAGCTTTAGCTGGTGGGTAGTATAAAAGTTAGACAAATAGTAATAATACTAGTGCTAACTTAAGATGAGATGCAGTGTGCGTAACAAAAACAAATTATTTGTGCCAAAAATATAATTGAATTTGGTGAGGCCCTTAATTTGAATACTAATTTGTACAGGAAGTTTATAGGCAAGATGACTATATTGTTTTCTTTACTACTATGCCTCAAATTGTGTAATTAATGTTCTGTTTTTCTCTAGCCTAAGCCTAATCTGGCTAAACTAAGGAGAATGACTAAAGCTTGGCAACTCTTTGGAAAAGAAAAGGAATCCGATTGTGCAAGTGTGAACTCCATTTTAGAACCTCAGTGAGCCACCTGCTACTACAGTTACGCTTGTACCAACGACAAACAACTGTTCTGAAACACATGCTGCTGTGAAAACACAATGCAAGAAGAAACTTCAACATTCTAAACAAAGTAAAAGCCCAGCACCTGTAACACTTGAAAGTATCTCCATACAAGCCAAAGTCTAAAGTCTAGGCAATGTGGAATTATTCAAGTTGCACTAGAACTCTGTAATGAAATGGATTGGAAAGGCTATTCCTAATATTTAAAAATCACACTCTTGCTCCATATCACTCTAAAAATCTGAATGAGCAGTATCTACAAGCAAAGTGGTTTCACATTGATGCACTAGCTGATCAGTGCTGTTGCTTAATCAAAGTATTGGAGTGCTTGTCCTAGCATTGTTAAATCAGTTTGTAGCATGAGCTACATTTAAAGGCTGATTGGAGCTTCTAATTGTATTACCATAAAAACACAAAGGGCATTCCATCTGAATGTTTTGTTGCACTTTTGATGCATCTTGCAGCATGAGTTACCGTAACCTACTTGAATGTTTAAAGTATTTTCAAAACTTGTTTGAAATGAAAAAGGGAATAGAATCTTCTATATATTAGTAAGACACTTCCCTTTTTGGGCCTAAACCACTAACCTCAGGGAATTCCCCCCCCCCCCCCCCCCCCCACTTCTGGCTTCAAGCAAAGCAGAAAACATGAACAGCTAGATTCAATATAGGTGGATCCTGTTCATTATAAGAGATTATAAAAACAATTACCTCCTGTTAAGGCCATCATTAAATTATGGTAGGATGTTACAGTACTGCCTACCCAGAAAGTTCTCGGGGAAAAAAAAATCAGTGAATATGACAGAACATACCTAGGACTGGAGAAACAGACCAAAGAAAACCTCTTTTAAAAACAGTCATTTCCTAAAGTTTAATATTTTATTTATTTGCTATTTTTTCAGGGGAAACAAAGTACTCGTCTGTTTAGTGGTATAAATTATGTCCATATCTCAGAGTTCACGATCATCTGGGTGGTAGAGTTCACTCATAAGACGATAGATGTAAGAAGGAGCATTGCCTCCAATGTTTGAAATGAAGAGAGTGATGAGTTCTGGAGGAACATAGTCAAAGACTGGACAGTAAACATTGACCTTAGACAGAATCTCTCCTGAAAGAAAAATATTCACATGACTGAGAAGAGAACAACAGAAGAGAACAGAACAATTCAGACTTCAAATAGTGGGCTGGATCTAGAGGACATTAGTTGCTCTTAGGTTCCATTGAAATCAATGTGAAAAGGTAGGCAGGATAAAATGAAGAACCCACTGATTTACGTGGGAACAAGGTGAACTTGTTTAGGGTGTTTCTAGACAGAGGACTCTTAGAACTACCAATCAGAAGCTATTGTACAGCAATTTCATCATTTTTTTTCTTTACCTAATTCATTTTTTGCAGCAAGAATAATGATGGAAGCAGCAGTGGGAAAACACAGGTTTCAAGTGGAAAACAGTAAAATCTGGACCCCCACCCACCCCCCAATCCTGTGAATAAGGCAGAGTGATAGAGCTATAAAATCAGTGTCTGGAAGCGCTCCCAGAGCCCAATCTTAACACCCAGATCCACTAGCTAGAGGAGGTTATGATGGTGTAGAGGTGTCCCTCTACTGATGGAGAAGAACTGCTGCAGCAGGAAGATGACTCCATCATGGAAGCCCCATTTGTACTGGTGGAAAGGTCAGTAGGGCAAGGGTGGCTTTGGAACTATGTCCTGCCCTGACCCCCACATGAGGCCCCTATGTTAGCCTGGTGTAAGTAGGCTACTTCAGTGGGACAGAAGGAAAATGGGAATTGACATATGAAACGCCAGTGAAAAATCACCCCTTCCCACCCTAACCGCTTGGGCTGCTGCAGTGCCTATCTAGACACTCTCCCTAACAGACCACATTACAGTGCTCGTGCTTATCTGGATCCAGCCCACACTAGGCAGTGTAAGTATCAGTAAAAGGACTGATAAATGCAGTAACAAGATGGTGGGATATAAGCCTAAGTTGCCACATGTACTCTTTAATTGAAACTTGGATCATAGAATATTTGTGTAGTGTAGTCATTAGCACATTTAACTCAAAAGAAAGCCACATGGAGATCATCACTCGGGATTTCAACTTTTAAGGATTTTGTGGCATTTATTCAGACCATTAGACTAAACTTTACATGTAGTATAACAGAAATCTCAGCCAAAGTTACCTTAGCAGTATAAAATCTTAAAGGCACAGGCTCCCTTAAAGTTGGTGGGCTAGTGGGCTAGTTTTTATTTAAAAGTATCAAACTGTTTTAAATAACAGGAGCCAAGAGGATGAAGATATAGTTTTATATACATGAGTGTCAGTTGGAGGGGAAATTAGTAGAGATATATAAATAACTTATTTTTTAAAAATCCCACCTTACCACCAAAAGTGGCACCCAAGGAAGTTTACAGTAAAATACACACAAAATGTAACAAATGAAAAGCACAGCAATAAAAAGACTGTATCCAACCAGTTAAAACCCATTCAGCAATAAATGCATGCCAAAGATATGTCTGCATGAAAAGTTATGCCTTACCAACAGTACATTTAATTGTGGTAATTGTTATAGCAACTAATTAGTATGCTACACATGTGAAAGGCAGAAACTTATTTAAATAGCTAATTAAAATCAGCTCTTTTTACCTGGCCATATAAATCAAGATTTAAAATCAAACCATCCTGGAAGTGGGTAGGAGCTGCCTTGAAAATGTAATATATTTGCATTTCTTATAAAGTGGTAATTTGGTATTATTGGAAATACAATCATGTATCATCTATATTATTACTTCTGATATATCACTGATATATCACTTCTAGTGCTAAAGTCCTTATATTCTCTGTGAAGAAAATTATTCAATGGAAAACACATTTAATACAATCTTCAGTCAGCTATTAAAATCATGCACCTTTCAAGCACAGAAATTTAGCACAAGGACCACACCCCACCAAGTTCTTCTGTTACTGTACATGCAGAAATGGATGTGTCAGAAGTGGGCATGTACAGAGTATATTTGTCTGCTGAAGAGGCAGAACAAAAGTTAAGGTAGTTTCAGGATATAAGCCACAATGAAGGACTGACTAGTATGCAGTCCTTTGCATGTTTACTAAGAGGTAAGTCACGCAAATTTGGTAGAGCTGCTATGATGTTTCTGTTCATATCATAAGGAATTTAGTAATTTAGGCTGCAATCCTGTATGTACTACTGAATCTAGTGGAACTTCTAAGTAAACATGTATAGGACTTGGTTGTCAAAGTTCCAGCATCACTAAAAGGAGCCCATAAATTAGCTTTCTCTGGAGAAACAATTAAAGAATTTTACCTTCTGTGAAAGGTAGCACTTCTTGTGGAGACACAAACTTGTGGAATGAGTCATCTTCATTAAGGAACTGGAAGAAAGAACAGCAAAGATATCATGCTACTCAAGAGACAGGGTGTGTGTGCTTACATGCACATGTTTTCAAGCCTAATTCTTTTCTTAAACAAATTAAGTTTGGATTCCAGCTTCTCAATTGTGTTCAACATTACTTTTTCTGCATGAATTGGTGTAGAATACATATAGCCCTGGTTTATGTTACATGCCTTGTAATACTTCAGTAGAGAAAGGGCTCAAATGGGAGCTAGCACCCCAGTGCAGGACTCCAAGGCTTTGACACAGTTACTTTGAAATCTGTACCTGGAATCTCTTCCTGGAATTCTGCAAATTGCTTGTACTACCAGGGTTCCATATTAGTCTATGCATTTCAACTTATCCTTCTGTTACAATACTAATTTCTCAAACATTTGAATTTGTATTTCTTTAGATCAGAGAGGTACTGTTTAAAGGGCAGTGTTCCTACCTGTGGTGTGAGTTTGAACATAGGTGCACAGACAATGAGAGGGGTGGAGTGGTGTTTGGCTGCCAGTGCCAAAGTGTAAGTTCCACTGACTGCTATTAATGCACCATTTGCCAAGATAGTTTTTGTTCCAATGATAACCTGCAAAATACAAAGAAACATTAAGAAACGGAGCATTGTAATGAATTGAGATGTGGGGGAAAGTTAGTTTCTAATTTTGTGATCATGTGACATAACTGCATATTCTTAACACAACAAAGATTGGATCTTGATTTATGATGGATCAAAAGTGCTCACAGAAGTAGACTTATGCACTTGCGCTTTCCCACAGCAACCCCTCTATCCCCGTGAAAATGTTCCACAGAATGTCAAAAGACCCTGGTAAACAGAGTCAGCTCAAGAGTCCCAATGGTTAGGTAGAGCAACTTGATTAGTGGAATTTTTTTCCTTTTAGAAAGCAAAGTCCTAGATCCAACTCATGGACTAAAACAAATTCTCCCTCTACCATGGGGACCCTCATTCATGGTGCAGCTATCAGCCCAAACTGGCTTCCTCCAAAAGTGAAACTAAACAGAATTTTTCTGTTAGATCACTCAGGTGTTCAAAATGTTGCCTCCAACTTGAAGCATTCTATGGAAGGAAAACAATGACTTCACAAGTATAACTTTATCCTCTTTCAGAGAGCAGGCTTCTAGGAACTCAAAAGTTCCTTTCAGTAGAGCCGTGTTTCCAGACATCATCCTTGTTCCATCCTCTCCATCTGATTTGGAGACTAAAACAGACTGAGAAGATATAGAATATTTTTTAACCTTCACAGTCGCAACAATACTATGATTTTAGGCATGCTTGTCCATTCCAACCACCACTTAGTTGTGCAGTTACAGAAGACAGATGCACTGCAACACCAAACATACTGTGGGTGATGGCACAAGTATCAACATTCCTCTTGAGTGCCCTCTATTTGAATCGTATCTTTTACTTCTGCTGTAAAAGTGTATAAGTTTTCTTGTAGATGACCAGTAAAATCTGAACCTGTAGGAGGGATCCAGCAATCTATGCAGGGGGCTCAGACTATGGTTAAACACTGAAGGATGGAGACAAGCCAGGGAGTGTGGGGAATAAGAGGTGAAAAGTGGCAAGTAAGAGACACAGAGGCCAAACAACAAACAATAGAGAAGAAAGCACAGCATGATGTCTAGATGGACAGAGAGGCATGGCACCACAGGCTCATACCTGAGCCATAGACTGGAAAGAGGGATCAAGTGGGGGAGCAGGTTGACCCCATGAGTGGACATAGAAAAAGAGGACTCCTGGTATACAGGAGGAATACAGAGAGAGATGACACAACAACACTGAGGAATAAGACACTAAGCTGTGAATGGTGGGGAAAAGTAAAGTGCAAGCTGAGTGAACAACTTCTGTTTTATCACTAATAAAGACTAACTCTGTAACAGTTACAGGTAAGTGTGGTTTCTCTTATGATCTAGCATTCTCCACTAGCAACCACAAGAGGACAGATCCACACAGAAGCAGAAGCTAATGCAGCAGCTCCATCATGCCTACCTTGTTGACTCGAGACATAACAGCAAAT